AAAAATCGAAAATATATCTGAACTTTCATTCGCTACTGCACACCCGCGATTCTCCTTCGCTCCTCGCCACTCGCTCGATGCCCTCGAGAAGTTTTGATGATGATTATTTAGTTATTGTTCCAAAACGAAGTGAGAGCGAGACAGCTGAATATAGAGAAGGCCGCTCGTATCTCGCCTTCGGTTTTACTCGACGAAATTCCGAGTGTCGTTGCCGAGTAGATTATGTAAGCGAAGGAGAAGCGTACTATCAAAGACGAGAACCAGCGTCAATCCCGAGGAGAACCTTCGCTTCGGTTACGCAACCGTGTGCCAGGCAACGCGACCGTGTCACGTGCTTGTTATGTTATCTCGTAGTATCATCTATAAGCCGCGGTTATCGTGTGGACGAGCGCGTTGTAACGAGACGAAGGACACACGCATAATTGTACTCTTTACATTTCACGGAGTAAAATCCCACACTGATAACGAGTGGAAGCTTACCCGAAGCAATCGTGAACAAACTGTCACACGCAATCACAGGAGTGGGTGTTGAACTCGTACTTAGAATGAATTGTTAATCCATACGAATGAATATTCCAATCGATCAGTGTGAATTTGTGTAACAGTGACGATGGAATACTCCACTCTTTGACTTCGAGCGAAGATGTCCACTCGGCGATTCAGAGTGGAGAATTCACTCGGTGTGAGCGAAAGGTCACTCGAATTGGAGGGACTAGATTGGAGGGGCTCTAACTTTCCAGCGAAATTTCACTCGAAGAAATTTAGAGCACGCTGCCAGGAAAGCGACATACTTTCGTTACATTGTTCCGTTATCTTCTAAAGAACATACCGCGACAGACACACTGCGGTGGCTCACATGACTGGCCGCAGATAACTATTTGCCGGTATCTTGTCCGTTAAAAAGGCATGACGCGAAATGTATAAACACGTGTAATAACTAATAGTTGCAAATTGACAATTTCCGACAGCTGATAGGCTCTCAACTATCCGGAAATGCACTATATCGCATCAATTTGCCGTTGTAATCAAGAGTACCGACAGATACCGTTAATGGGTCACGGGACACCGTTAACAGCAATTAAGGCCGACGTGTTCTCAGTAAGACCGTTCATCTACGAGGAAACGTTTGGAAATGTCTCTGGCCGATCCTGACAGGTTTCAAATGAGGTCGTGAGGTAGCTCAAAACCGGTAAAATTAAAAAGGGAAATTTTTATCTGCTCTTTTGCACGTTAGAGCTCGAGGAAGACTCGATAAGATTGATTACAGTCGAATATCTCCGAAATCATGAGGCATGAGAAAATGTTTCAGACTTGCCTCTAAAGCTCTCGGCTTTACGTACACTTGCTTTATGTGCAACATTTGTTGGGGCACGACTTGTAAACGCCGCTTCATAAGTAGATGCAGACATGCTGGGTCGTACTCGCAGTGAAGTATCGCGAACAAGCGGGCCGCGTGCGGCTCGTCTGCAGCCACTTGTAACGCAGCGTTTACATCTCGTAGCCCAAAAATGCGATCTCAAAAAGTAATTTCGTTGCGCATTTCGTCTGAACTCGACGTAAAATTCTCTACAATTCGTGTACACACTTGAACTTGAACGCATAAAAATCCTTCGAAATTACGTTGCTGAAATTTCGAGCGAAAATTGAAAGTAACTTCAATTTCCGTAAAATTCTCTACACACGGAGTCCAAAAGTTGATCCCTCTGATCTAGGCAGCAGCATATTTCGTCGAGAGACATGCGAGAAGCTACGCGTATAAATAAACGTGAGCCTCTCTCGTTTTTGGCTGCTCCGCGAGTACAAACGAAGCCAGAGTGAATCGGCGAGGGACATTGCCGCGTAACGTTTCCCCATTAGCGTCGTTCCGTCTGTGGAAACAAACGGTTCGTACCGCTGACTGTTCCCACCGACTCAAGTTTCACGTCATCCATTGCCACTTCGTAACATCGGAAAGCGCCTTCCTTTTCGATCGTCACCGTCAATGCCGTCGTGCATGTTTCACAGCATAGCGCACAGCAGCACCCCGACAGCGCGATCGATCGGTTCACTCTGCGGCGACGAGCTGGCGAGTCGCTCGTCCGTTCGAGCGAGAGCGCTTCGGAGCTTTCGCAAATCGCGCATGTACGATCCGATTCGCGCGTCCCGAGCGAACGGGCAATCGGCCGCGAGATCAAATCCTCCGCGTTTTGCGCTCGTCGTCGGCCGCGTCGCACTCAATAGACTGTAAACCCACAGAGATCATATCTCGCGATCCGTCTCTTTACACCTGACCCGACCGAGAGAGAGAGAGAGAGAGAGAGAGAGAGAGAGGGAGGGAGGGGGGAAGGGGGAAGAGAAGAGAAGAGAGAATGGCAGAGCTGTTCATTGAACGCGAAACTTTAACAGCTCGGGTCGTGTGCACCGATTTGGATCTCGATGACCGTGATGAACCGTACAGAGAAGCGAAACACTTTTGCGACAGGCACGACCGGTTATACGGCGATGTTAAAAAAGAAATAGTAATAGTAATGACAAGTGTGAAGTGTTTTGAGAGGAATTATAGGTCGACTGCAGTGAGTGGAAAGAGTATTTGTACGCGATATTCGTTCCTCCCGAGATAAATTTGTACGAAAAAGCGAAGAATCCTGCAAAGTGTGTTTCTATCGAAATATACACGTATATACGTATTGTTTTCACCAATGTATTATACATATATATATATATACACACACACATACATATATATATATGTTCTGGTTATGTGTTTTATTTGTATTAATATATATTATATCTTTCGTGATGACAAATGCGTCAGAGTCGTGCCTCTCGGTCGTTGTCTAAAGATTAGATTATGGTGAGCGTGAAGTCAGGAAGAAGTCTGACAATAACATAAAGGCACACATGCACGTACGCGATTTTACCACAAGACACGCATAAACGCACACGACATATTTATTCTCGCAATCGCTCCATTTAAAGGCGACGACACGAAACGCGGGGTGGAAGAAACATCGGCGCTTTAAACGCAACGCCGCGGGTTTCACGGGTTGGAACGCCAGGAACGAGTGAAATTTATCATTTCCTGCTTGCTGATAAAACGCTAATGGAATACTAATGCATTTTATTTGAATAATAGGGTCAAATCACACAAACGGAGAAGATGACAATTAAGAAAAATTTTACCCAACAGATAGATATTTCAAGACAACAGTTTCGCACTTCTAATCTGAAAACAGCTTTTTTCTTTTTTTGAAAAATCGGATTGAAATGTGTGAAAGGATGCAGAAAATTAAGTTGAAAATTGTCTCATATTTCCAAGAAATCTCGGGAATTAATTTTCAAATTTGCAAAACAATTGTCCGTCATTCGTTGCACAGTTTTCCTATAGTCACCGCGGGTATAAATGAGAAAATGCACAGAGACAGTCGCGTTAGAAGTTGTATTTCATTGCGCAATCAATCGGCGAGTTCCCATCACGTCGGATTGACGCGCGATCGATTCGAAAGAGATAATGACCCACGCATGAATCATCGCACCGGTTATGCGTCACGCGTTATTCGCGGTCGGAGTTCGCGACTGTTCTTCCTGAAAGCCGAGCGCCACATGACGTCACTAACGAGTCTTGGCGTTGGAGCATCGGACGATCGTTCGACGCGATGCAAACGCAAATGAGTTTGCATTCAATAGACGGACACTCGTCGGTTATGAGAGTCCGCCGAGGTTTTTAGAATTCCGACGAAATCGCGCGCGATTTCGTGTCGCGCTGCGCTTCATGGCACCGCGACGACCACACACGCGTCATTTAATTATTCCACAATAAATTAAGAACAATAACAATCGATATCACCCAATATCCCTCTTTACCCTTTCATTCTCCCATCCCCTACCACCCTCTGCCAGACGTGAAGAACCCTGATTGATCCTCCGAAAAGACATGCTCACGCGACATGCGTATAGTTACTAATTGTACCATTACCGATCACCGACTCGAGGTGTCGAATATGCGACATTTTTAATAAATTATTTTGAAGATTGCTCACGTCTCTCCGCTTTCTTCCGCACCCTTCTCATCTCAGCCTCTCGTAAACCGCGCGCGCTTCCTCTTCCACCTCCTTTCCTTCTCGATTATGTGTCCTTGCGTAATCTTGCCGCGTTGTTGGTATACGAAACGATCCAACGTCCACTTTTTCATTCTGATGTCAATTTCTCGCGACGTATCGATGCTTCAGTCTCTTTGTTACACATAAAGTGCAAAAGCGTACGTGGTAACGTTGCGCATTTTATAACCTTAATTGAATTATGACTGACTTCTTTCGAAAAAGTTCCGCTTCGCGGGACTGCGTATATATAGCACCGTTCGTGATGAAAATCAGCAGACCGCTTTGTATATTACTCGTGTACACGCGGGAAACATCGCGTGTTTGCATTCGGTCATTAATATAATTACTGATTTTCTCGAGTCATTAGTATTTTACCAGTCACAGCGTTGACAGCGCAGTTTATAGAGCAAGCGACGTTAAAGCTGAAACGTTGAGCCGTTTTTAAACGGAATGTCTGATTGCAAAACCGGTAGACCGGTTCTTAACAGCTTCTAGCAATGACACTACGCTAATAATACCGTAATTTTCGGAAAGGAACGACACTGTCTCGGCTATACGAATTCTTCTTCTATTTCAGACGCGACACCACACTCGCGCGAAGTTGTCGATGTTCGATATCGATACTCGGCATCGAGCAGGACCGTCTGATGAGACTCGGGACCCTCTGCGTGTCACACATTAGCGGTAAACGTGAATCATGCGATCTTCAATTGCATCATGACATGAAATAACTGTATTTCATGAAAATGAGCAAATACAATAGTGTAATTATCAGAGAAGAGGTAGAAAAGGAAAATAAACGTAAAATTTCGACCGTCACCCACCTACACTTGAGTATTACGATTCGTCCCTGAGGGCATAACTTTCATTCGCGGGTTTTCCGGGATTGTCATGACGTCCGGCCTAACCGGCCTGAGGCTGTAAAACCAGTATCTCCTTCCCACTACCGGTCTCCGCTCTGGCTATTACTCGACGCTCGTCCGTTCATATTTCGCATATTCAGCAGTCGCCGAAGACGTTTGTTTCGTGACGTATGCGCATCACGACGCAGAAGGCAGTGATCTCGTGACGAAATTCGACGAACTCAGGTGCCACAGGTGAGTGTGGAAGATCGATGACGTCGGCTTATAAGATCTGACATGGCTCACTGTTTGGCCAGTGTTTGTCGGTGCTTCGTAAAGCCAAGAGGACACGTCCGGTCGTTCATTGGGCGTCACCGATCGATCCGCGACTTCCTCTTCTCGAGGTGGATGTCTCAATTTACGTGTTACGGACACGTTGTCATTAACATTGTCACGTGACCTATTTCGACGGAATAATTCTACATCTGCATGTATCTGTGCCACACCTGACATTTGTGTTTGATGTGTTTTATTGTGGGACTTAAGAATTTTCGACGAGAAGAATTAGTAAAAAGAAAGTTTGTTCAAGTGTACAAAAGTACAAGTGTGACATTTAGCAATATAGACAAATATGTTGCCTTATTACTTAATACTTCTCCCATTTCCTTTATTAACTACTTTATTATTTCCATATGATGTTTTATATCTTTAAAAATATGGCAACTCTGACTCTAATAAATAAATTACAATTACATATTATTCTGTTTTAATAATGTCTCAAATGTCGATTCATACTATCAAACGTGTTGGTTATCTAATAGTACATTGTGTGTCATTCAATTATTATCACCACAACAATTTCATGACACAGCTTGGATTGAGGAAGTCTGTAATCTTGTGTCCTTGTGTGTTGCAGGTTTTTTTCTTCTGGTAGTACAACGCTTGAATAAGCAAAATGAGCTACGGTTACCAAGTGAGTAATTCAGTTTATTGTTATCAAACAATCAAAGAAAATAGAACTAGAGTGTGAAGCTTGCACATGCAATATATATATGTATTTTTTTATTTATACCTTAATATATCCAAGGGACCACCTGTTCAATTTCCGGGACGACCACGAGCACCAACATCGTTTGGAGCCCCACCTGGTGCACCCTCTGCCCCTGGTGCTCCGTCTTATCTTTCCATGGGCTTCTCAAATGCACCACCATCATCATTTGGCATGCCACAACCATTCACTCACGCACCCACTCCTTATCCCACTCAGCCAATGCATCCTGTTCCAAACAGTATACCTATGCATAACACATATCCTCCCCAACAAATGCCATATCCAACTCAGCACATGCCTACACCATGTTATCCGATCAATCCTGGTCAACCCACATCCCAGTCACCTTATCCGCAACAACACAGTTACAATATGTATCCTAATCTGCAACAAGCATCAGAGGCTAGAGAATACTTTAATGATACAACTTCTTCTCCTTATCCTCGTGGATCGAATGCACACGCGACTAGTTCAAATCCATACCAAGGCGGAAACTATCCTGGGGGGCAGGGGGTAAGCTCTAATTATCCTTACGGCGCTAATCCACCTACTGCTGCTCCACGTGGCGCCACCCCAGCCCCCCGGTTTACGCCTAAGGTGAGATTAACAGCAGTTTGCAAAGTTTTGAAGAGACAATCGAAATATTGAACGCTTTTTTATGGGCAGAGGCGTTGAAGCAGCGTCATTACAATTTTACAGATGAGCAAACGAAAGAGTCTGAATTTTGTTACAGACTTCCCCTACTGTTGTGCCTTGCAATGATTTTGATGCCAGAGCGGATGCAGAAGCATTGAGGAAGGCCATGAAAGGATTTGGCACCGATGAGAAAACTATCATTCAAGTTCTCACCAATCGCAGCAATCTGCAGCGTCAGGAGATCACATCGCAGTTTAAGACTCTTTATGGAAAGGTAATGATTCACGAAACTTCTTCATAAATTTACCCTTCTATGTTGAATATAATACTATATTGTTGTTATATCTTTGTTAAACAGGATCTTATAAAGGACTTGAAGTCCGAACTATCCGGGAACTTTGAGAAACTTGTTCTTGCTTTGATGATGCCATTACCTCAATATTATGCTAAAGAACTCCATGATGCAATGTCTGGTATCGGTACCGATGAAACGGTACTCATCGAGGTGTTGTGCACCATGTCGAATCATGAAATATCCATAATTAAGCAAGCATATGAAACGAGTAAGTCAGCTGAATATCATCACAATTATATTAAGAAGGATATCAACATGTCACTATGTACTTATTATATTTAATAATTACAGTGTATAGAAGAACATTGGAGGATGATTTGATTTCCGACACATCGGGCAACTTCAAACGCTTGTTGGTGTCATTGTGCTGTGCTAATAGAGACGAATCATTCGATGTGGATCAAGCTGCCGCAGCGGAAGATGCCAGACAACTTTTACAAGCTGGTAATTGCTCTCAAATGATCAAATCGCTTTGATATATGCTTCTCGAGTTTCCTTAATTTTCTACAAAATTAATTTTTTTACAGGTGAACTTCGCTTCGGTACGGATGAGTCCACCTTCAACGCGATTCTCGTCCAAAGAAGCATGCCACAGTTGAAGCAGATATTCGCGGAGTATCAAAACATAACAGGCCATGATATCGAGAATGCGATCGAGAATGAATTTTCGGGCGATATTAAGAAGGGTCTACTTGCAATTGGTAAGTCATACATCATATATTTTACAGAATATATAACACTAATGTGTGTCAGACTGCATTTGATAAAATAATTTATATCACTCAAACAGTGAAGTGTGTCAAGAATAGAGCCGGTTTCTTTGCGGAGCAATTATACAAGAGCATGAAAGGCTTAGGCACGGACGATAGCCGTCTTATTCGACTGGTTGTGACACGCTGCGAAGTGGATATGGATGAGATAAAAAGTGTATTTGTACAGCAGTACGGAGAATCATTGGAAGATTTCATTTCTGTAAGTACCAATATTAAAATGACACAGCATAACGTTGTATTTACATTCAAATTTAACTTTTTTTTCTTCTTTTTCTCTCGTTTAGGGTGACTGTTCAGGACACTACAAAAAATGCTTGTTGGCATTGGTTTCGTAAAACATTTTTGGACAATTGCAAGAAATTCGCTTCATTGCATTTATCCTTTGTTTATGAGAAAATGGAAGACATCGGTTCACAAAAGTAAAAATCGAATATAATTAAGTACTGAGTATTTCCGGTTTTAGTTTTTTAACAGTTACATTGATGACAATAATGTAGCTAGTATATTCTGTATATGCATGTGATTCACAATTGATTTTTATACATTGACTTATGCAAAGAAATCCCAGCTCGCATATGCGTACAATGGAATGATTCAGTGCTTTTCTTAATTCGTTGATGATTTTTATATATCATTACATATGAAATATCAATAATTTCATGAGAACGTAATTAATGATTAATTAAAATTTCCAAATATTTTATAGAATCTCCGAATTGATCACTTATACTAGATACTTTTTGTTTTATATTGCATGTTCCTATTTACTGTAAACGGTTCTATTATAAACGAAAGTAGAATTTTTAAAGGGTTAGTGCCAATGCATATGTCTTTTGTGCAAAACTTTATGAAAATCTGCTAGCCTTTTACCATAGTATTACAATAAGACATACAAAATAAAAAATATATTTTGTGAAGATCTGAAAATAATATCTCAATCTGTCTCTAATGTACCTGTCTCTAATGCATCAAACAAAACACATAAGTACATAAACGCTTTCTTATATAGAGTAATATGAAAATGTTTACATGAAACTTCGAAAAAATGTCTATTTTATATCTGTATACTTATATATTATGATTATATAAATATACTATAACATAATATATACTAAGTATATATAATATTTATACATTGTACATTCATATATTATTACATACAAATGTATGTAATCGTCCAAAACATGTGCTTCGTCTAAGATTTTAACTATTGTATTTACTCTATGTATTTCAATAAAAATTTAACTGATGTATTAAGTACCGAATTTCTGATTTTTTCTACTTAAAAAATGCATTTATTTCAATGACAAGATAAATGAATACATTCATCAAAATGTTTTCCTTCATTTTCTATGACTTTTTCCCATTCTGGCAAATGTTCAATTTCACGTTGATAGAATATTTTATCTTTTGAAGCAATCCAATCATTGACCCATTTTTGCACCACATCTCATTCCCAAAAACTCCAACTTTAACCTACATCATCATAACTTTGGCTCTTGTATGAATTGTATTCTAGGATCTCATGTTTTATTTCTTCAAACTTTTTGTTAATAATTTTTTTATAAGCAGTGACTGCTATTTAAAATTTGTTAAAGGTTACTCAGACTAATATCCTTGATAACATATGTAAAGGTCACATTGTTTTTTTAATAATATACTAAATATATTATTTCAAATAGATCTGCGTAATGCAAGGGAATAAGGAGTAAGATTATATATTGATTTGGCAATTGTATAACTCGATAACGATGAATATCATGACCCGGTATTGAAAATTAAGATTTATTTAATAAAATAGATCTTGCTAAAGGATAGAAGAGAAGGGAAAAAGATATCAAAATAAAAACATCATAGATAGGTGAAAATCACAGGTACAGCACCAGTAATTTGCATATTTACCAAAAGAAGTCAACAAGTAACGTTTTATCTAAACATTTCTCTACGCTTAATCTAACAAGTACAGTTAATTAAATGCAGTTGATTTTCTGGTATGATGTTAAAGGTGAACATTTCATTATTGGATATAAATAACGAAAATGCAAAACAGCATGATACAGTTTATGATATACATATTAGAATAAAATACGCTAGAAGACACGATCTTGATACCCACTTTCTGCCATAGTGGTAGTAGGCTTGGTTGCTCCCCCAGGTACTTGATGATGTGGATGACGCATGTGGCCAGGTCGTCTTGGAGGCGCCAAGTATTCAAACATACTCTGACTATGTTGTGCTAACATTTTACTAAGATCACATGGCATTGGATCAGTCCAAAAGAAATCGTGATTTAACGCCGAATCTGAATCACATCTCTTGTTAGGATCGAGAATCAGTAGCTTATCCAGTAAATCGCAAGCATATGGATCCTTCAAGTATGGTTTTAATCTATCCTTAACCTGTATAAAATCGTTAAAAATTAAACTTAAAAAATAAACCTATTGAGAAAAAATTTTGATCTTTGAAAAACAGAATGCGCAGCAATAGTGCAGTTTAGAAATATCTCATTATTGCAACAACTTTGTAAAGTATCAGATTATATAATGTGTGTTATGTTTCACTGGTATCTTTTTTATGAAATTGATATTAGCACTATGGTCAACTCATTTACATAGCATAATTTTTTGCTTGCGTACGCACACGCATACACGCGCAAACACACACACACACACACACACATATATAAACATCATCTCTTATTTTCTAATTAATAATATATCACTCAAACAATACTTACTTGCTTATAATATTTTTATTTAGATCATTTACCTTTCTCTTCTGTCCCTTAGGAAGATCCATTTTATTGAATAAATCTAGACTTTCAACACCAGGCCATATGTCTGTTGTTATTGATCCACACAATTGTGAAATCAATATTAGTTGTTGTTGCTCTGTATTCCCTTGCATTATGGGAGATCTATTATAAACAATAATTGTATTCTAACAATAAACGCTTCTAAGTAATATATTTGGTATATTATTAAAGAAATTGTCGAATATATCATTCATTAATAATTTAGTATATCATTATCATTATTTGGTATATTATAATTCGGTATAAACTTGTTGAAAATTTTACTGTCTTAATATACATGCCTTGTCCACATTTCAGCCATAATACAGCCTGCACCCCATAAATCTACAGGCGGTCCATAGTTTCTATCACCAAGCAATAATTCTGGTGGCCGATACCAGAGAGTGACAACTCTATTCGTGTAACGATTCGAATGACCATTTTTCGAACTATACGCTCGTGCCAGACCAAAGTCAGCTAATTTTAGTATACCATTCTTTGTTATTAAAACATTAGCAGCCTTCATATCTCTATGTAAGATCTGTAATCAATATTTTATTAATATATATTATTGTTTTATAAAATAAGATTATATATTATCATTATTATTATATAAAATCATTGTTACTATATTATTTCTAAAAAATAAAGTACTTAATAATTTACCTTATTACTATGAATGTAGTAAAGACCATTTAATAATTGTTGCATAACTTTCTTAATTTCTCCTAGACTAAATTTTACATTTACATTTGACAACAAACCAGCCAGATCATGTTCACAGAAATCAAATACCAAATAGAAAGTTGAACGAAACCGATTGTACTGGGTAGCTGAAAATATACCACAAAAAATAATGTAACTATATATAATTATATAAGTTATATACTGTATAGTTATATATATGTATATATATAGGGTACATATATACAGGGTCCAGGATCATTTGGAAACGAAAAATTATGAAGATTAATCAAGATCAAATTGAGAAGAAAATTCATGTATCATTTTGCAAAAATCACAAGTTATTAAGTTATTAATTAAAACGTCTGGGCCAATGAGCGCACGGAAAACGATAGGCGGGACTGGACAGAAGTATGATGATAATTATTATCTTTTGTTTATGATTGTTGGATCATTGTCGTAGACGACGATTATAAACAAAAGATGATCACCGTAACTTGCGACCCGCATATATTCGACGGACACGTCTTCAGTCACATGAAATTGTTTGACACGCGTCGTGCTCCTCCGCGACAAAAAATGAAATTTATTCGAGGAATATACCAATACGATTATTGCGTACGGACTAACAGGCAAACATGCGCGTACTCGCGTTTGTGCAGAACGATTTCCCGGCCGTGCAAGTGATCTGTCGAGAAAAGTGATTTTATGTGCAATGCAAAAGTTACGTGAGACTAGGTATTTAGTGCATAACTATACAGCTGGTGCGTTAATGTATCTTGCTGTTGAAGACAAGGAAAGGTCTCGTGTTGACATGCCTCATGCAATCAATTGTCTTTGCTACGAGTATTCAGAAGTAAATCATTTGTCTTGTCTATTATCATCATACTTTTATCCCGCCTACCGTTTCCCGTACACTCATTGGCCCAGACATTTGGATTAATAACTTAAAAACTATTGCGATTTTTGCAAAATGGTACATGACTTTTCTTCTCAGTTTGATCTGATTAATCTTCACTTTTCGTTTTCGAAAGATCCCAGGCCCTGTATATGTATATACATGGCATCCGGTAATTAACTGCCAATCCGAGAGGAAGAAATAACGCGCCACTATTCGTGTTTCATCTCGCTGCACGCCGCCAAATTGCTGGGTCGATTGGGCCGCACTATGGCCCAAGAAACTGCGACACTCTTCCAATCATCCATCTTGGCACCCACTCGCTCGTCAGATTTCTGTCATTAATAACTCGATAATTATTGCGATTCTTTCAATATTGTATTTTACTTTTCTTTTCAGCTTAACCCAATCTACCTTCACACTTTGGGTTGGCAGCTAATTACTGGATACCCTGTATACATATATGTATAATTTTTAAATTATTTAACTACATATGTTTAACATAACTATACAATTACAACTATTTGATTAAGATTAAGATTAAACAAAAAAACTTATTTGATTAAGATTAAACAAAAATAATACGATATTTACCTCGTGTCCTACAAATTTCTATAAGATTTACAACATTCTCGTGTTTTAGCAGTTGTAATATCTTTATCTCTCGTAATGCTGTAATAGGAAACTACAACAATATTTAATTAAATATAATATATGTTTAAGAAACAAAACACACTTTATATCAATCATAAAACTTACTCCTTCTTTTTCATTATCCATTAATACTTTCTTCATTGCAACATATTTTTTACCATTCTTTTTGTCTCTGGCTTTAAACACTTCTCTGCAAAATAATTAAGTTAGACATAATAAAATATGCAATAAATGCCAATATAAAATATATTATATAATCTGCTGTTTAAGCTACATGGGTAATTATATATATTAAGGAATCTTGCTGATGATCTGTAGCTTCATATATGTTGTTAAAATAATGTTCCTAAATAACTTACAAAGAGTTTTAGTTGTTATATATCGGTTATATATCATAATAATATCATCTGTTAAGTTTTAGCCTAATTGAATGTTTTATTCAAAAATATACCTAAAAACTTCTTTTGTAACTTTTTAATAAACAATGACCACTGACTAAAGCCTTTTGCAAATTACTCAGGAACATGCCTTTGACAATATATATGAAGCTGCAGTTCATCCATGGGATGTGTGATTGGTAATCCAAATAAAATTACCATGTTCACAGAAACGTTCGAATTATAGTATCGTATTATAGGAAAAAATAAAGTTTGATATTCAATATTCCAACTTCAACATAACCTAAAACATTTACACAAAATGCTTGTACTCACCCGAAAGTTCCCTGGCCGATTTTGGCGACTTTCTCATATTTCGAGGATTCGTCACAATGCGGAAAATCGAATTCCTCAATGTACTTCTCCTTTTCCTTCGTATTCATTGTTGCTAAGTAAATTTTATTCTTTTACGAATATCTAATTCAACACATAGATAAGCCAATGACTATTGTACAATTATTGTACAAAAAATTAACATTTTATTTCAAAACAATATAGCATGTGGTGGCGTAACCATTAAATGTTATTTTTTAACTTCAATTATTATACAAAAAATTTATAGATTTTACTCAAAAATAGCACGTGATGGTGTAACTGTTAAATATTATTTCTTAATTTCTCTTCAATATTTTTACACAATTTCTTACATGTAACCTTACATGTCACTCTCTAGATCATTACACAATGCCAGGCAACAAGCAATAGGAACAAGGAATAAAAATAAGGAATAAAAGCAAGGAATTCCAGCATACTAGAAACCATGCATCAATGCAGAATGAACCATGACACAGGCAATAAACACAGAATTCCCATCACGTTGGAAATTCTATTCCTATTGCCTATTGCCAATCAATCACAGCGTTCGGATTGTTGAGGTTAAATTTACGAATTGTATGGTGCGTGTTTGTACATATATATGTATAAGTCGAATTTTATAAAAGAATTAAAGGTAATTATTTAGAAGACGGGTCTCATCTTGGATTTCGCTCAAACTCACCTATCTTGTGTATTTTGACGTGTAGAAGCCGAATCTGCAAGTAAAAATGGTCGCTCGGCTCTAGTTTGCGAGAAATAAATAGTTAAAAAGTGACACATGCGAGGTTAGGAAATCTGTCATGTCGGTAATACAGAGACTTATGGATATAACTTTCAATGCGCAACGAGAATGGGAGGGTGCGGGAGGGGGATATGTAACAAATGAAAAAGTCTCAACATGTATATACATGCAGTACCAACATATGTACATACACACACACACGGGGGTGCAAGGGGGTCTTCGGCCCCCCCTTCCGCACCCTCCTCGTCCTCGTTGCATGTTGAAAGTTATCGTTAGCATTATTTAAGTTTATATAGTATTATAATAAATAAATTATAAACCTTCATTATAGAATATATTATAATAAAAATGCTGTCATATATGTATTAAACAAGTTTTAGTTCGATATACGAGGGTAGTTTGATAAGTCAGTGACTTTTTTAATAAAAGATATTTTTTTCGGCAAATAAGCGTTTTATTTCTCAACGTAGTCTCCTTTTAGCTCGATACATTTAGTCCACCGTTTTTCCAATTTTTTTATTCCTTCCAAATAATAGGTTTTCTCAAGGCCCTCAAAATAGGTGTTTGTTTCAGTGATGACCTCTTCATTCGACCCAAATCTCTTACCGCCCAGCCATTTCTTCAGGTTTGGAAACAGGAAATAGTCGCAGGGAGCTAAATCTGGTGAATATGCTGCATGGAGTAGCAGTTCGTAGCCCAATTTATGGATTTTTGCTATGGTGACTACACACGTGTGCACCCGTGCATTGTCCTGATGGAACAGTACTTTTTTCTTCGCCAAATGCGGTCGTTTTTGCTTCAAATCAATATCGAATCTGTCCAAAAGCTCTGAATAATATTCGCCGGTGATCGTTTTACCCTTTTCAAGGTAATCGATGTGAATGATACCGCGTGCATCCCAAAAAACTGTGGCCATGACCTTATTGGCCGACAGACCCACCTTGGCCTTCTTTGGTGCACGTTCACCCGAAGAAACCCACTGTCTTGATTGTTCCTTGGTCTCTGGTGTGGTGTGATGGATCCATGTTTCGTGTACGGTAATGAAACGGCGCAAAAACTCGTTCGGATTGCGGCTGAACATCGCCAAACACTCCTTTGAAATGGTCACACGGTTGCGCTTATGGTCGAGTGTGAGCAATCGCGGCACCCATCGCGCGGATAGCTTTTTCATGTCCAAATATTCATGTAAAATGTGATGTACCCGTTCAGTTGAGATGCCTACAGCCTCAGCCACTTCACGCACTTTCATTCTTCGATCGTCCAATATCATTCCATGGATTTTATCGACGATTTCTGGCGTGACGACCTCTTTTGGGCGACCTGAACGTTCGGCGTCACTTGGGCTGGTACGACCACAACGGAACTCAGTAAACCACTTCTTAACCATTGAAATTGATGGTGCAGAGTCCCCATAGTATTTATCAAGCTTTGCCTTGGTTTCGGTGATGGTTTTTTTACGCAAAAAATAATGCTTAATCAGCACACGAAATTCACTTTTTTCAATTTTCGTTAAAATTCACGAGGTTGTCTGCTTTCAATGGCTGTCAAACACTAACTAAATGGCGCAGCTTGCCCAAACTTGTACAGTAGTCTATTAATAGATGGCAGTTGACGGGAGCAGTGCTGCATTTAAAGTTACTGCGCGGAAAATTCAAAAAGTCACTGACTTATCAAACTGCCCTCGTAGTTTTTGGTGCAGCCGTGCCAAGATTTTTTGTATCAAATATTTTTTATTGCATTGTTATAGTAATTCTCAGTTGGCGCTACTGTTTTAATATATCACTTCTTTTGTACAGTAGAAAAGTGTTACAGAGTTTTATTATAGTTATAAGTTTTACTTGTAAAAACTTATGTACACATATATACAATAAAAAAAATAATTTGAGTTTGATACTTCTCAAAATAACACAATACGTGTTGCGCTTGTACTTGGCGCCTTTTTTTTACCTTTTTGTTTAAAAAGGTTAAAATAAGTTAAATATACGTACGTTTCACGTATAATGTGATTGACTTGGAGTACTCCGTGCCCACGGTGTTATTCATAGCGACGCATTCATACTTTCCCTGATCTGTTACATCGGATTCAATAATCTGCAAGACACCTGAAACATAAAATGTGATATTCTCGAACAGCGTTCCTCTCAGGATTTTCTTGTCCAAAGAAAGATCAATGATGCGATCGCAGATCTCGTGTATGTCATGTCAATAGAGACAGTTTGAATTCGGCGTAATATGATTCTTGGAATAGACGTAAACAAGTATTGTGAAGTTTGAAGCTAGTCTCTCACAGGCATGCTTTGAAAACACGAGTTGTTTTCATTTTCAGCTAACGGACGACGCAGGCATCAACACTGGCAAAGTGGGGGGTAACCGTGCCTTCCCGATTGTTTGTTTTCGTACGCTTATATATGACTCCGTGATTGCGGAAAGGACATTGCGCCTCGGGCCGACGAACAACGCGCATACCGCGACGCAGAAAAGTACGAATGTCGGTTAATACGCGTTTCTTTGTCCCCGAATTTTACTTGCGCGAGTGTTAGAGCTAGAGTCAGTGTCGTCGCCAGTGCTACGATGGAGTATCCGGGGGTGCTGCGACGGAGTAACCAGGAGGACGTCGGATCGAGAAGTCAGGATGGAGAGAGGACTTGGAGCGCGCCGAGAGACGTGGACAGCGATACATCATGTATGGTATTCGAGGTATCTCGAGTCATTATTATTACGCAGGATTTTTCTGATTTTAACGCACCTTACTCGAAGTAAGGACACACCCGAGTCGAAATTAGATCAGCATTCATAGTTTATCACCTAAAAAATGATAAAATAGCTTGAGATTTGATTATTCGTTAACCTAATTTCACGTAACATGAGTTCTATTTTCTGTTTTCTTTTCTCATAAAATATGAATGTCTATTCAAGCAAGGTTGTTGAGGCAAGCTAAAGTTTATGAATACAAATTTGTAATTATGTTCTCAATGAAAAATTGCACATAATTTAAAAAACTATGAATAATGATCTCAGAATCTGATATAAATTTTACAAGTGTTGATTTTTATTCGTCTAATAATGCTCAGATTACTGTTTTCGTTTAGAATCTGCTAGAATGTCCGTTTCTCATTCTTGTTTATCTTTCTTATACCGAATCTGAATTAAAATCTCTATTAGTGAAACAGCATTATTAGACATAACCGTTGTCTTTTTGCAGCTTCAGCTCTTTTAAGAGCTACAATTCTCATCATTCTCATTAGAAAAAAGAAAAGAAAAAAAAAGAAAAGAAAAAAGGAAAAAAGAACTTTAAGAATGATGAGAATAAAAAGTCTTTTTCATCTCCCCATTTCCTCTAATTCTTATATGATTATTTAATCCTTATATATTTATCTCACACGCAGTTTTAACAAAGGCAGTTCTATTTACCAGATTTTTATCTTTGTTCTCTTTCTGGCGCTGTTAAGCGAACATATAATCAACATCAACAAAAATTGCTCATTTAAATTAAGAATATAAGGATTAAATACATATACATTATCGAGATAAACGCGTATTAAATAACTGCGGAATATGTCGCTGTTGAAGACTCATCATGGGCGAGACTGCGAGAGTAGCCAGATATAACGTTCAGGTAGGACAAAGCTTGTTCACTATTGCGCATCTAGATATTCTGCATTGATTTTTCAAATTGGATGCAATTTGCAGGATCAATGTAGAATTAATATTTCGACTCGGGAAAGACTCGGGAATGAATTGAATGAACGAGAACGAATTGTCATTGCACTTGGACAATCTTCTGACACTGATTTCTGGTATTGATCGATATTCGATTTTCGGTACTGATTTACTCTTTCACTCCTCTACAAAAAAAAAAAATTGATACGACTCGTTCATTTATCCGCGTTAATTGGATGAATAAATTAAATATTGATCGGTCTTCAATTTTCGGTACTGATTTATTTTCTCATTTCTTTATACAAGCAAGACAATAAAAATTGATACGAATGACTCGTTTATTCGAGTTAATTTGTTGAGTAAATTAGAGGGATAAATACCTGAAAAATGAGAACAAATTGTCATTGCAGTTGGACAATTTTCTGACACTGATTTACGGTATTGATCGATATTCGATTTTTGATACTGATTTACTCTTTCATTTCTCTATAAGAAAAAAAATTCATACGAATCGTTCATTTATCCGTGTTAATTTGATGAATAAATTAAATATTGATCGGTCTTCAATTTTCGGTACTGACTGAATCTCTAATTTCCTTATAAGAGAATAAAAATTGATACGAATCGTTCTTTTATCCGACTTAATTTATTGAGTAAATTAATGGGGTAAGTACCTGCAAGATGAAAACAACTTGTCATTGCACTTGGACAATTTTCTTGATATTGATTTATGGTATTGATCAATCTTCAGTTTTCGGTACTGATTTATTCCCTCATTTTTTTATAAGACAAAAAAATTGATAAGAATCGTTCGTTTATCCGAGTTAATTTGTTGAATAAGATTAAAGGGGTAAGTATCTGAAAAATGAGAACAAATTGTCATTGCAGTTGGACAATTCTCTGACACTGATTTACGGTATTAATCGATATTCGATTTTCGGTACTGATTTACTCTTTCATTTCTCTATAAGAAAACAGAAAATTAATACGAATCGTTCATTTATCCGCGTTAATTTGATGGAAAAATTACGTATTGATCGGTCTCCGGTTTTCGGTACTGATTTATTTTGTCATTTCTTTATAAGAAAAGAAAAATTGATACGGATCGTGCGTTTAACACAGTTAATTTGTTAAGTAAATTAAAGGGGTAAGTACCTGAAAAATAAGAACAAATTGTCATTGCACTTGGACAATTCTCTGACACTGATTTACGGTATTGATCGATATTCGATTTTCGGTACTGATTTACTCTTTCATTTCTCTATAAGAAAACAGAAAATTAATACGAATCGTTCATTTATCCGCGTTAATTTGATGGAAAAATTACGTATTGATCGGTCTCCGGTTTTCGGTACTGATTTATTTTGTCATTTCTTTATAAGAAAAGAAAAATTGATACGGATCGTGCGTTTAACACAGTTAATTTGTTAAGTAAATTAAAGGGGTAAGTACCTGAAAAATAAGAACAAATTGTCATTGCACTTGGACAATTCTCTGACACTGATTTACGGTATTGATCGATATTCGATTTTCGGTACTGATTTACTCTTTCATTTCTCTATATGAAAACAGAAAATTAATACGAATCGTTCATTTATCCGTGTTAATTTGATGGAAAAATTACGTATTGATCGGTCTTCGGTTTTCGGTACTGATTTATTTTGTCATTTCTTTATAAGAAAAGAAAATTGATACGGATCGTGCGTTTAACACAGTTAATTTGTTAAGTAAATTAAAGGGGTAAGTACCTGAAAAATAAGAACAAATTGTCATTGCACTTGGACAATTTTCTGACACTGATTTACGGTATTGATCGATATTCGATTTTCGGTACTGATTTACTGTTTCATTTTTCTATAAGAAAACAGAAAATTAATACGAATCGTTCATTTATCCGCGCAAATTTGATGGAAAAATTACGTATTGATCGGTCTTCGGTTTTCGGTACTGATTTATTCTCTCATTTCTTTATAAGACAAGATAAATTGATACGAATCATTCGTTTATTCGAGTTAATTTGTTAAGTAAATTAGAGGGATTAGTACCTGAAAAATGAGAACAAATTGTCATTGCACTTGGACAATTTTCTGACACTGATTTATGGTATTGATCGATGTTCGATTTTCGGTACTGATTTACTTTTCCATTTCTCTATAAGAAAAAAAATTCATACGAATCGTTCATTTATCCGTGTTAATTTGATAAATAAATTAAATATTGATCGGTCTTCAATTTTCGGTACTGATTTATTCTCTAATTTCGTTATAACAGAATATAAATTGATACGAATCTTTCTTTTATCCGACTTAATTTGTTGAGTAAATTAGTGAGGTAAGTACCTAAAAAATAAGAACAAATTGCAATTGCACGTGGACAATTTTCTGACGTTGATTTACGGTATTGATCGATATTCGATTTTCGGTACTGATTTACTCTTTCATTGCTCTATAAGAAAAGGAAAAATTGATACGAATCGTTCATTTATCCGCGTTAATTTTTTTTTTGTTTTTATTATATATAAGTGGTCCATGGGACGATTAAATATTCCAATATATGTTGCTGTATCAAAGTCTCCTCTATAATAAACGATTTGACACGTCTAGAGCCGCATGATGTATCGTTGCCCGCATCCCATTCCCTTCGTCCTGCTTCCCTGTATAAAATGTCGAATTGAAACGTATTAAAAAGTCTTGACATTTTGAATATGTCTGAATTCTGAATCTTTTTGATCCGAAGAAAAGAATTGAAAAGTATTAGTTCCCATTAAATTTTACTGCGCTAAATGCGAGACGGTCTCTTTCGCCCGGGTGCCTCACCAGGGAAATTTCTCTGGTATGCTAAATCCCGTATGGCCATCAGTCTTTGTAGTATATCTCGTCGGTGCATAAGGTTTATATTACCTGTACATACATATTTTGAAACATTTTCTTTGGATATTATATCAAACGGATTTTGCGTGTCACGTAATATCCTTCGGACTACACGGACATTATTATTTTGATAATTTTGATTTCTTTGGTATTCATTGAATTATCCAGAACGCGCAACTGCCATGTTGTCATGAACGACTCAATTGTCGTGTGAAGTGTTTCGATTTTCATAAATTCATATAAAATTTTTCATTTTTCAATGATTCACAGAAGTCTTTCACTTTTTATTAGTTCACGCTAGGGAAAAGATTCATGATCGTTGCTCCGAGCAGCTGCAACGCTTTTCGAATCATCTATGTCGGCGCGCTTTTACTCCTCAGATTTCTGTTATTAATAACTCGATAATTATTGCGAATCTCGCAAAATGGTATGGGACTTTTATGTTTGTCTCAACCCAATCTACCCTCACACTTCGGGTTGGCAGCTAATTACCGAACACTTCGTGACTGATCTTCATGATATTAATCATACACAATGTCAATTCTTTTTTTTTGCACATGTTAACATGTTAATTCATGTTATAAACGTGTAACAATGTGCGAGACCGTGCTTGTCAAGTACGCTATTATGGTTGTAGCACGGACTGCCACCACATACAGGATTTACCGCCGAAACCTGAAAGTAGATGTAGGATCGTAGTAGTTCCCCTCTCAAAATAGATGCAAATGGCGCCCTTTCCCAGTGCGTCAAGTCGGTGTCGTCGAAAACACCGTGTTGGCCGCTCTCACGTTCCTCTCTGTTCCTCTCTATTTACGAAACATACGGCATGTGGGACTTTCATTGGCTACTGCGATATTCCCTAGACAGTTTCTACTGCGTGGCAAGCGTGGTGGTATGCAAGAGGGGTAACAGGAAAAAGAAGGTCTAGAGGGTTTTTGGCATTGTTTGTCGAGAGTGAATGTGAAGTAATATAAGGTTGAATTTGCCTTAAATTGTTTCATAAATATATAAGTATATTTTAAAACAATTTGAGAGAATCAATTAATTTACAAATAAAGTGCTGCTAATAATAGTTATATGATAATCTTTCGGGAATTATATCCATTTATTAACAAGAAATACACTTGCAAACTTTTCGTGGTTAGTGACGTTCATGGCAAGTTGCAATAGTTTTAACTTAACCATGTGAAATATCATCGAGGATCTTCGAGGACTTCTTTGTGAAAAGAGAAGTAAAATATTAGGCAGGAAACAGATAATAATCAAAAAATATCGTACTGTATTTCGAAAGTGACAAGTATCCATAGACAAAGAAAAGGTCGAAATCCATTTTTTCTCAAAAATTTAAATATTGTATAAGATATTTGGTCGTGTGGAACCAATAAATACATATGCAAAGATGAGTATAAATGATGATTGGGATGTAGAAAAGCATAAAACAGAACACGAATGCGATGAACATTGGGAATTGAGACGTAAATTTCTGTTAGCCCACAAAAAGAAATTTCCTGAAGATGAACTCATTTGCTTAGCTCAAGTGTTTTATAACGTTGAACTGTTAGGATGCAGGTATTATGATGTTGCATCATTACAAATATCTTTCAATACATTTATTTATTTCTCTGAAAAGCAATAAATGGCATTAAGTTTTATATGGTATATTATAGCATTAATATTTATAATTTAAACAAATTTAATAAACTTAAAGAAATTATAATTATATAAATTTATATATAAATATATAATTATATCAATTTATATATAAATTATATAAATTTAAATAAATGTTTTATTATATAGATATCCAAAAGAAACAATGGATTTAGTAGCAGAATTATCTAAAGAAGTTGCAGCTGAATACAGAGAGAAACAGAAAACAAAATTGCAGAGAACATTTGTAAAGGCTTCAGAAGCAGCTAGTTCAAAGGTTAAAGGTATAATAAAAAATTGTGAGTTATACTTTGCACATTTCTTTATTTTTTTTTCCACTTACTATTACACAAAGTACATTTTATATATATCAAACTTAAAAAAAATTTTAAATCGTATTAACTATATATAATTTACCATGTGCATAATAATTTAGATTCATTTTTTCTATGTAGGATGTACTACCCAAAAGTTTACTGTCGCAGAAAAACCTGTAAATCAAAACAGAATTAGCAAAAAATCAGAATCTAAAATTGAAATGACTAAAACAGTAAATAATTACAAAAGACTTAATATTGATGCTACAGAGTCTTTACCTAAGAAGAAAACAAAAAATACAAATCTCCCATTTGGAGACATTGTTTTGGTGGAAAGATCAGGTGATGTACCACAAAGTACATTGGCCTGTTCAGTTAATGTATCTGGTAATAAGCTGGAATGGAAATATAATAAGAAAAACAAATCTTGGTATGTATAATATTTTTGTGATGTTGGGAAAAGAAAATTGTTAAATATATGACCTATGGAATATATGATTTGTAATGTACACAATGTCATATTTTATTATATCTTATTTTAGCGATTGCACCATTTATATTGATTCAAAACGAGTGGCATGTGCCTCTGGTAGCAGCCAGAAAATTGCTAAAAAGGAAGCTGCTGCTGTTGCTTTAGATAAATTACGAAAATATTATTATACTATTAAGTAAAAGGCAATAAATATGAATTGAGTAAAAAAAAAAAAAAAAAAAAAAAAAAAAAAAAAAAAAAAAAAAAAAAAAAAAAAAAAAAAAAAAAAAAAAAAAAAAAAAAAAAAAAAAAAAAAAAAAAAAAAAAAAAAAAAAAAAAAAAAAAAAATAAAAAAAAAAAAAAAATTATGATATTTGAGTAAATGTGTAAACAAGATAGCTTCATATCTAGACATAGATATGAAATAACAAGTACATATATGTATGTATATATATATTGCATGTATATGTGTATGTATATATATATTGCATATATACATGTGATAATGTAATAAGAGAATATATAATATACAACTCTCTCTCTCTCTCTTTCTCTTATTGATTTGAACTTTTATGTCTGTTAAAATTTAGATAAAGCAAAATTTAGATGTACAAACGAATATAACTATAACAACAATAGAGAAGGCCAAGTCACAGGATAATATCCCTGACGACAACATTGGAAAAAAATTGATAAAATTAATGGGATGGAGCGGTGGTGGTCTTGGAAAATCCCAGCAAGGCATTATGGAACCTGTGACGTTAGTGTTCAACGACTTTCTTTGTTAATTAACTTTTAGACGATGCTTTTAAATAGGTTATTACATAATAGGATATAGTGATAGGACATCTTTATTATTTTTTAGACTCAAGCAACAGCTCAGTCGAGAGGGTTTGGGTCTAAAATCAAATTCCTTTAATATGCACGAATTGAAAGCTAAGTGCAAAAGTGCTTTTAAGGAGTTTTTAATGGGCGATATGCAAAACGATTTAGTATTTTCTACAGATTTTACCAGTGATGAAAGGGCAACAATCCATCAGTATGTATCATTCTTAAAGTAATACCATAAAATCCATAGATTCTCTCTTTACGATATTACTATATTATATAACCCAACTATATGATATATATAATACTATAAATTATTTCTGAGAAATAATTGATTGTCTTTCAGATTGAATTACTTTCTACATAATGAGATTAAAAGAAATGTAATATTTAGAAAGTTTTATATACTCAATGCAAGTGTTTGTTAATTTGATTTAGAGTCGCGCGGGAAATGGGTCTTAAATCACGCAGTCACGGTCCTTCAAATCAACGGAAATTGGTGATTTCACGCAAGATTGATATCCGGAGCTTAGTCGAGGAACTGAAGAGCCTCGGCGGGTCTACGGAGAAATACGAATTAATAGAACCAACCAGTTGAATGAAGAAAAATTAATTTCATCAATATGCTTGTAAAAATTTTATGTATATAGATTAAATATTCAGTAAAGTTGAATACATATGCTGTACTAGTTTACACGCATTGTTTGGATAAATAAATAAGCTTCTCACGTGTTTTATAATATTTTATTGTTTAAACGATTCAAAAACAAGCTATTTAAAATAATATCGCAACATTCTAACTGATATTTTCTCTAGTATGATCTGAAGTAGCAAGATTCGCTCAATTCTCTCCTGTCTCTAACAGACATGAAAAGATCTGTGCCAAATGGGAAGGAAACGCTATACAGATTAGAAGATCCTATTACATAGTCAGTAAAATAGTACAAACGAATACAGAGGCAAGATATAATAAAAAGTAATATGCTTGTAAGAAGTGTAAGTAGGACGAGATTTGTAGATTCGTGATTCGCCTTCGTCATCAAACAATAATGTGACGTACGTTAATTTTCTTCGCATACGCATATAATGTTGGAATCGTCTCACACCGTGTAATTTTTTGAAATTCGCCAATTAAAACCAAAGAAACGTTAAATTTCTTCTTTTTTTCTTGCTTAAAGCCCATAAGGAATAATAACTATATTTAATGAATAAAAGTATACAAAACTCGAAGAAGCCAAGGGTAATTACAGTGTACATATATATCGCAGCTTGACGTATAATAAGAATACTTTGGCAGTAGAACAATTAGAAGTCGAAAAGTAACATATAGATACGACGGTGCGTGATTTTAATAGATTATCACATTGTTATATTTCAATAGTTAAGGTGGTCAGTAAGTACTTTTTCTTTTTTTTTTTCCTTTTACACATATGTTTATATAGATATATATGCATGCGCCGCGTATATTCCATTTGTTTGAAGTGACAAGGCTGAGGATTACGAGCGTATCTTACATAATCATTTTGATTTATTAATTAATTTAATGTCACGCAAGCGATGTGTAAGTGTGTATATGTAATAATGCACACATAGCATAATGTCGATATAAATGAGTAACAAAATTGAATCAAACATATACATACAACATATGTATGAATGTGTAAACACATACACTCGCATGAGTATAAATCATATCTTTCATGTGTTAATCAATCATTTAACCGTGCGATCATGCGCATAATAAGCGAGGTATTTTCTTTCACAAGAACTGCAACATTTTCTACACAGTTGAATTTACAAAAAAACCACGTTCGTGTGACGTTTAATTCCTTGTTTCTCTACTTTTCGAAAGTCTGCCGCCTCGATCTATAAATTACGAGCAGTATTATTTTAAAAAATGTACAAACGTACAATAATCGGATCAGAAACTAAATCGAATATTTATTTATACCTATAGAGTTTTGTGTAGGAAAAAAATATATATATTGTTCAATATAAATGACTATTTACAATCGTGCCCTTTGGCACCATTGTCAGTACAGAGAACAATAATCGTTAGAGGTTTATTCTCTCAAACGTAACACAAATAACATTTTACAAACCTTTTGTTTGTTTATATATTATTATTCCAGTCATTTAATTTCACCGTCAAGCTCTCTGTGTTAAACGTCGAAACGATAATGCCAAAGGGCACAACGGGATATTGAAAAACTGGGTCATTTGCCACTAAAACAGAATATGGACGGGCCGGTAATTTTCCTTAACCCAATGATTTTATCCAGTTTTATTTCAACATGCGCATATCGCACGTTGCTATTTTTTTTTCTTTTTTAATTAAAATTCTAACAATTAGGATGACTTGCGAAAAGGAAAAGAGAATAACAATTTAAAATGGTTTGAATAAATACATTTTGAAATAATACTTTTTCCGATAGAAAAGAACACCAATTTAAAAATTATTGTTTAGATTTTTCACAAACTAATCTCTTATAAACAAGCTTTATTCCTTCCATATAGCTTCCATATAGATATAGAGAACGCGTGACATGCGAGATAACACACGTGAGGTAAATAAAATGCTGCAACAAGACAGAAGGAAGAGGAGAAAAGCAATCTCTTGTCACTCCAAGAATATTGGTAACGTGCGTTCGAAACGTGGCATATATACGTATATATCAGGTATTGGAGAACTCTGTCTGTGCCGCTCTCTCGGGGGGAGAATAAGATTTGTAACTTTATGACTTACGTTGAAATTGGGCTAGAGGGTCAAGGCGCGCGCGGGGCGGAGTTGTCGCGGCGCCTTGACTTCCCGCGCGCCCGTATTTTCGCTCTCTAACCATACAAGTTCCCTCGGATTTTGCCCTCGGTCCAGGCCCTACTTTGGACCGTAATTGACATCTGGAGGGAATATTACACCTTTTTTTAATTTTCTTTATATACCAAAATATTATCTACCATCTGATAAAAGTGATATCTCTGTTAATCACTACCCGATAAACACAAACTAAAAGTAACATCACATCAATGTTGTAATTTCCCATTCAACAATGTAAGTGCTACATAGTATACGTTATATGTAACAGTTACATCGCTGAGTGAGAAATTATAACATTGATGTAATGTTACTGTTAATTGGTATTTACTGGATATGTATATAGAATACGTCTATATGTATGTACGTATGTATATCTAGGTTCGCTTACAATTAGAAGATGATATGTCTCAATTATTCCACTAGAAGATACCCTTAGCAGGTAAAGACGGGGGAATTCTTTCGAGGTAAATACGTTGGACTCACCCGTCCGCCAAACATTGTCGATTGTCGCAAATAACAATTACTTTAGCGCGCGCGTGTGTGTGTGTGTGTGTGTGTGTGTGTGTGTGTGTGTGTGTGTGTGTGTGTGTGTGTGTACACACACATACACAGATATGTATGTGTACATATATACTTGGAATTTATAATAAATACGTCGTTAATTCTTCTCCAAGTAAAACGAAAACGCGACGGGAAACGCTACCTCGAGAAAGAACCCGGCTCCGCGTTCTCTTTACTATGTATATATATATATATTTCTTTATATAATTTACTGATATGTATGTGTACTGATATGTATCATGTTGTCGTAATGAAAATATCAATACGCTAGCGTTATATATATATATATATATATATGTATGTATGTATATATGTATATATATATATTTTACTTTCTTCTTTTCTCTCTTTCACTTAAGTAAAATGCGCGTCATACTCTGAAGGAACGCGATACGATGCTCCGCTTGTTTTTTATATCCGCATCACTTTTGTCATCGTCATCGTCAATTTCAAAACGCGTGTTGTAAAACGTTGCCGACATTGTATGCTGCCTATGCATCGCGTGACATATTAAGAGAAAAATGCATCTGGAATAATTAAACGCAATCTATTTCCTCGGACCCGAAGACTGGAACTCTATTTTCATCGCACAATTTAGCGTTAAAAAGGCGGACGCATCGTTCCATTTCATCTCGCATTCACGTTAAATATCATATTTAAAGACAAAAACTTACGATTTACGTACTTAAAAGCAGTAACAAACAAGATTTATCTGCGTTGTTTTTTTCATTTTCTTATTATATATTAATTATATATAAATATAAATATATATATATATATATATATTTATACATAATTAATATGTTACGGTCTTGCGAGATCCGTGCAAATAGCGGCGATTGCAATGAAGCTAAATTAAAAAAATACATTGAGAGAACAACAGTTTAAATGAATTCAGCGTTATTAACGCGGTACTGTTCCAGCAGTAATCGAATAAAAAGCCATCGTCTCGATCGTGGCGATATATAAAATACATTATTCTGTAATTACACAACAGAAATTTCACAGCATCGTCGTTTTGCTTGCGTGAAGCGAGTAGTGGAATATAACTCGTCTCTATAAGAGTAACGAAAAAAATCGTTACGTGCACTTGTTCTTTCGTCATAATGTAAAAGTAGCTAAGAGTATAGATATATCTGCAACAAACTCCTCTATCCCCACTCCCAATGCCTACCAAAGCACAGCTTCGTTAACATCTGGTCTAACGGTTGCACACTTCCAAAAAAAGATAAACTAAGTTTACAAAAAGAAAAAAAGATAAAAATTATATTCTCAAGGATTGTAAAGGATAAAAACTGTGTGCGTTCATTTGTGTTACGAAAAGAAAGAAAATGAGGGAGAAAGGAAAAGATTGGAACAAGAATATTATGTTAAGAAGGTCAGCTTTACGTCCCACGCGACCTTTCCGAAGTAATACGTTTTTCATTAATTGATATTCCGTGCTCGAACATAATTATATTTCAAGAGTTTCCCCTTACAGAGTTTTCTCTTGAAAAATAAAAGTTTTCAAGCAATCTCGTCGAGAATTACATAAAAATAACCTTACAAAGTTTGAGAATATTTAATTGAGAAGATATTAGTCAACTATAATTTGTGCTATAAGAAATATACGAGATATTTATAATTTTTCGAGTCTTCCAATTGTTAAATAACAAACGTGACCAATTGTTTAATCTTTTATGATGACTATAAAGAACTTATATATTTTAGATTTTTGCGGTAAAGATCAACTTATAGATTCTTTACTTTGTGTAAGTTTAGTGCACAGCCGTTGGACGATTATGTCATAGCAGTATAGTTGATAGCAAACGATTGTCATCGGCAACTTATCACTTATGCAAAATATTATACGGTGTTATACGTGTTTGCATATTGAGAACAATGCTCGAATAAAACCGGGACACGCAAGAGCGTACATATGCATGAGGGTGAGAGGACCCTGTGTAATTATAAGATACGAGGAAGCTCAATATTTTAGAAATAGATCAGGTGAAAGCTCATTATCTGTTCACACGAAGAAAGATTACGCTTTAACATACAGCTGGAGAAGCAACAGCGAAACGTAAATTTTGCCAAAGTAGAGCCAAGAGTTTACGTTAACGATAATTCGACCGTAACATTATTTAGAATTAATAATTGAGGGGATGTAGGGACAGACTTTCATCTAAACGTCCTTTTTACTCATTTCGGTTTACTCACTTCGGTTTCCAGTCGGGAATTAAGAAAATAACATTATAAGAAAATCGCAAACTGTCCAAAGAACTCGTCTTTCAGCCCCTCAATTAAAGCTTTCCTTTATATGCTCTTATGCTCTCTTTTCACAAACATAGTCATGTAAAATATCGACAGACGCGAATTAAAGCTACCACAAAATATTCGCTCGAAGAAGTATATATAACACACTGGCTACCAATCGTAGCGCCTGTCCGGTCGTTGCGCACTTTTCCCAAACAAATCGTCCGGAAAAAGTGCCGTCGAACAATTACCTAAATATGATCGACTATGAAACGCGAAACGCTTAACTGATTCGCGCTAGAGAATCGACTCGCTTCTGTTCGTTCCCATGCGAATCTCGACATATCTCGGTGCTCGCGACGTTCGTTGCGAGAAGCAAAAGTAGAAAGTTCAGGAAAGGTAGGAGAAGGGAAAATGGAGAGAGACTACATCGCGCGGCCCGTAAGAAGACCGCGACGAATCGTGAGGACGCGCAGGGAGGAGGAGAGAGTGGAGGAACTTGCGGAAAGGACGACTTAGGCTGCATCAAACAAAGGGGCTGATGCGACGATAATGCGTCGCCAACATAGCTCGTCGCCGTTGGCAGCGACAGCGGCAACGGCGGCGACGACAATTCAGCAGGCATCTCTGTTCAGTCGAGGAAGCCCGTCTTGACGAGCTTCTCGAGGAAGAATTTGACGTCGCCTAACTCGGAGTCCTTGATGCCGATGGACTTCAACATGCCCAAGTCGCCGTTCTCCACCGCCATAAAGACCGAGCGCAGGTGCTCGAGATCGCCGCGCAACAGGTGCAACGCCGCGCCAAAGTCCTCGATTGTCTGCGACTCTTCAATGTTCAATATTCTCGATTATTTTCCATAACTTCGATTTTTCATTCTTGAATCCAATCGAGTGCCGCCGTTGCTTTCGTTTCGCGAAACTCGTCCCGACATCGCGATTTATTTCGAGTTTATTAATCTTATTATTATCGTATACTCATAACAAAAACTGATATATCTCTCTCGACGATAAAACAAGCGGACGTTGATTTAATATCGTGAGGTACATATCATGCACAAATCGGTGATGCTATTTACCAGACAGCGCGATGGCTACTTTGTCCACGCCACCGAGAGGCTTCAGCGTGTCGCGTGCCTTAGTTCCGAATAGCTTCTCTAGGTAATTGGGACCGTGGCTGGCTAACAGAGATTGCAGGAAGCTCGCAGTTTCTTCCACGGGTGGTCGTTTAGCTGCAACAATATGTACATGAGAGTTTTTTCTCTACAATAGTTGTGCATAATATAAAATAACTGCCAGTGGATAATACTGTTGATCGTCGACATAATAACACGCTGGGTATCGCTTAAAATTAATCGCAATTGATTTCTCGTCTTCTCCCTCCGTCTTTCCATTTGTTCTCCCGCTAACAACTGCGATGACCACAACAAGTAACAAAGGATAATAGTCACTATAGCGTGGACACCCCGAGAACGAGCGCAAGTCAACGCGAGGCAGCGGTGCGTCTGTGCCGCGAACGTTATAGTTGCGTAAGATCTTTTTGCCCGCTTTCGAAGAACTTTTAAACCAGTGCAATAAGTTACAGTGAATGAAAATATACTTGTTCCGCTCTAACTTATTATACTAGTTCAGAAGTTCTTCGAAAACGAGCAGACTTATAACAACCGCCGGTGCAGCAGCACAGAGAATCATCGAGTGCATCCACACTGAACGGTGTTATTGCACCCACCTACTGTAAAGTATCTGAATTAAATTTATGTCACAGGGATCACCCAGTAATCTTATGTAACAAAAATCACGAAAAGTAGTATCAAAAGTACAGCAAGGTACATTAGAGAGCAAATTATCGTTTCCTTTTATGATTAGCGACTGATCGCTTCGAAGGCCGCGTGTCAATGTGAACTTTGGATGGACTGATTGATTGCGATATTTACAATCACGATATTAATGATCGCTCACCTGCGGTGCACAATCTTGAGTCCTCGTCGTATCCGTCCTGGCAATCCGGTGCACCGTCGCACAGATACTGTATCGAGATGCAGATACCGTCGCCCGGGCACTTGAACGGTTCATACGGATGGCAAGCGTCTCCTGAAATGCACAGGCAAACGCTAAATTTCCGCGAGGGAGAATCAGATACACACACACACACACACGCACACACACACACACACATACACATTTCCCAAGAAATCTGTATGACTAACGATCTATTGTGTGTACAGGATTTATAATTATTTCGCTGGGACGAAAGTTCAGAAAGAGTATGGACAAAATATAGATCGTAAGATTATCACACAAGTCGCGGGATAATTAAATTACTGACATGTATTAAAGCGTGGGCAGGGGAGGGTGAGGAAAGGAGATCTGAGACGAAATTAGTAATGCATATGGATAATAAGGCAGCACCCCTTCGTAATACAAAGCTTTTGAGATAATTGAGGAGCACGCGATAGCATTATTCTCACGCAACAAGCCAGTACACCACGGTTGGCGATTCTCAAACGTTATCTTAACAAACCACGAAATTTTACAGAGCTGGAGGAACAGTCGAAAACGTAAACATTTTAGTTTCACGGTCGAGAAGTAATTTCCAGTTATAATTAGCTTTTTGTATCATATATTATAAACATTTCCCAACACTTCGTAGAAACTCGTAAGATCATCCACCAGATCTTCTCATTTTGCTGAAACTTTCATTACTATCTCGCATTTCCTTTCGTCGACAAAAACAGACAGCCGAGAAAGAAACAAATGTCATTATTAATTTAATGAGAACTCGAAATTTAACGACTACTCGAAATTTATCTAGCGTTCTATTTGAAGAAATGGAGGAAGCATATATACTGCGTACTATTTTCTCAGAGTCATTCAGTCAATTACCAATAATATCATATTTATCGTATAAAGGATCCCAGCGAGAATCCTTCAGCGACCTTCTAAAATACGGAAGAAATTTGTCCTTGCCTTTAATGACCCGGGAAAAAGCAGCTCGCGAAACGCATTGAAACACCAACGATTTTAGAACATTTACACATTCGTGCATTCACTCAATATGCTTTTATCTCGAGAAAGAATTTTAGTTTCACAGTCGAGAAGTAATTTCCAGTTATAATTAGCTTTTTGTATCATATATTATAAACATTGTGTAATATCGCGGCGTTTCTGACATCGCTTCTGACTCTCTAAATAATCGATTGTATAACATTGTGCCATATTCATTAAATGATCGCACGCGTACATTTCGTGCAGAAGCAATTTACAACGCAAACACCGGCGTTATTATACAGCCACAAAGTCAACTCAGGGCGTATCGTGGATTCGACATTTGCGGCGCATTAAAAGTTTCACGTCAGATCGACGACATAATAACAGCGAACAATATTAAATAGTGACGCAAACGAATTTCGCGATGTCGACCCACGCCTGTTTAGATAATGTCTGCGTGGACGTTCCGTGTGACGTTCGGATCGTTTAGCAATATGGAGGACAAATATTTTACTAATCAACGAAAGAGAAGCGTGCCCCTTGGAGTAGTCGCTATTTCCACGAGATCGCTAGTCCCACCAACCTCAATGCATTCCGAATATGAAATAGCTATCGGGGGAATATTTAAAAAGAAATTGTCGTCTGTATGTTTCTTCTGGTATAACTATACGAGTTATGCAGCGCGACGAGTACAATGAATTTTAAATAGAGTTACCGCGCGGTTTTAATCGATCATTTATTCCCCGGACGCACGTTGTGAAATTTTCTGAAGTTTCATAATATAACCGTTATGAAGTTTCGTGCGCTTTCCGACCATTTGTATTCGATTGTATACGAGGCTTCAATGCGATGAAGATATGATATGAAGCGATAAGAATATGTCCGAATTTATCCGAAGGGAGAATTTCCGACTGCAGGATACACGCGTAGAAAGTAGTTTTTACCGTTTCTCGTGATATCATTGATGAAATCTTTCTTTTCTCCAAATAATTGTTGACATTCCAGAACAAAGTGCTGCGAGGCATTTGGTCCGTTCTTTTCTTCAGCACCGCTGCACTAGTGCAATAAGTTAAAGTGAGACAAATATATGTTTGTCTCACTCGAACTTATTGCACTAGTGCAGCGATGCAGAGGAAAAGAACAGACCTATTGTCAACGCTCCATGGTATTGTCGTGACTTGGATGTACATCGTGACCTTCAAATGAAAATGGTCAATGAAGAAATAAAGGTAGCAGCTAAAAAGCACGAACAACGACTTGCTGGTCGTAAGAACCATTTTGCATTACGTCTCCTCCGAACAGCTGGAAAGCTAAGACGATTAAAGAGGAGCAAACCCGCTGGCCTAATGAGACAATGAGCGAACTTCTGTCCATCTCAGCATATAGATATCATTTACAATTGTTGCGATACACAATGAAATATCGCACATATCACCCTTGACAGCTTTGAAAATTATAAAACGATCTCTTTTGGCTAGATCAATTACTGTCTTTAAAAAAAAAAACAAAAAAGAAAAGAAAATTACTGTTGAGAACCTTTTGACAATATTTGGTGGAGATCTATTAGACTTTCACTGCTAGAGTTCCTTGCGAATTTTCGCCAGGACGTTACGCATCCTGAAGTCAATTCCACATGCTTTACTCCCTTAATCTAAAGCAGATACTAACCCCGGAGAAAGCAAACAGTAGAGCACGTTCGTGCATTCTCAACGATCATAAAAATATCAGGCTTCCTTTTAGAAGAGGCCTGATCGCTTCGCGGCAGTTCCGTATCTAAGCAAGGGTGTCCGTGGTTCAAGAAGTGTTTTCTTTTTTTTTTCTTTCTAAATGTCAACGTAAACGCGACTATGTATACGACCTCGCACAACACGCGGGGTATGCGGGCGTTATTGACCGAGCGACACTGTAACTATCCGCCAGAGAGCACACTCCCATATGGTACGAACGTACGACCATGGCTTCAAGTAGAACGACTCAGTCATGATCGCGCCCTCCACGCCCGTTAATGTTAATGGACAGCAGTAGCCAGAAGAGCGTGACAAAAGCGAAGGGTGAACCGTCGTTTCCTGGAAGCTCCTATCCTGTGCTATCTTCATAAATGTAACTATACGGATTGGTGAACGCGATCGAGAGTACCGAATGCGCTGAAAATGTTCATTCGCTCATGGGCTCGAATTTATGTGCGAACACTGCGTAGATATATGTTACATATATGTACTACGTAGAAGCCGAAGCTCCCGCTCGACACCCGTTCACTCCGTTCTCTCCCTCTTTCTGACAGTTGTGTGAGAACGTTTCTCAATCGATGGCAACGTTAAAAAATGTAAAGCGATTCGAAGAAGCGATATTCAGATCGGTCGCAACGCGGCGTTCTATTTAAATGCTAATAACGCGGTCTAAACTTTAGATGAACTTTAAATGGAAGTCACACGCTCCGATTGACTTTAGATGAATTTATAAAAATACAGAGAAACTTGATAAATAATGACTTTTCTAGGTATACTCCCTTGACATGGGAGAAAGATGGCTTGAAATTAGCGGGAGAATTTGTTCTAACGAGATAACACGGTAGGAATGAAATATCATCCCCCGCGCTATACCAACAACGACACTTAGAATAAGGACCTAGGGATTTAGCGGACTAATTAACAAGTCTCGTGGTAAATTAGTTTCTTTGAGCAATCTCCACAAGAAGCTCTTCTCTCGACTGGATTACTCGGTTAAGTTCGAATTTTGCGCTCATGAGAACTACAAATTAGTCGCTCTTGTAGCCATCGTAGCTACAATCTGCGATGACAATAGCTCGAGCAGAACAGACTAGAGGTTTGTTTTTTATTGCTGAGCTGGCTGCACTAACTTGCACTTATTCTCTTCTCCTCTCCCTTTCGCTAATTCCTAGATGTATATCTATTTCTTTTTATGTTCCCTGAGTGTACACTAGTTCAGCGACAAAAAACAGACCTAATATTACCTCATACCGCTTACTCACGTGTGACGTGGCATTTTAACGACTTACGATATTATTATGTTGCGAAACATGAGCGCTCGTTCGAACGAGCATATCACGAACAATGGAAACAAACGAGAAAGTTGTCGTTAGAAAACGACAGCTATAATCTCGTCGGACTCCGACAGTGAAAGCACACGCGCGGATATTTCGACGTTTATCCGCGAAGTACGTAGCTGCTTAAGCGCGGAAAATCGATGAAAAATCTCGCGCGTTTACCCGCCACATATTATTTTACTATTTTTATCAACCGTCTTTACACGCGCGACTGTCTTACGAGTGTCTCGTCCGTTGTCGACGAAATCGTCGACAACACAGTGTGCCTCGGAGCCGCATTCGTATTCGCTTCCAACGAATCCTCGAGCCCGATTCACCCTCCTAACCCCGTTATCGCTAGCGGAAGCTTCAACTTACCCGTACGTTTGGAGTTGAAGTGGCCATAAAAGCGGCTAAGGTCGATCGCCATGACGGCGCGCGGAAAGGCGGCGCAGGCCGTCAAGACGATGCTAAGTGCAACCGCGCCGTTGCAAAACCTCCGTACCATCCTCTTATCTCGATAGATGCTGTCTCACGGAAGGCAGGCAAATACGTATAGCTCCTCACTCTTCGCTTCGAAATCCTTCTCTTTTCTTCCTCTCTGTCTCTCTCCGAATCTGGGACTTCTCTCGGGACTTCTCCTGTTTCTCTCTCGTTCCTCTTTCTCTTTCCTTCTTCCTCTTTCCCCGCGAACACGTAACCGCCGATGTATTACCGTCGTCCTGCAAGAATCACCTGCACGCTCGTTCGCTCGTCGACTGGCACCTGCTCCAGCAAGGTTCGAATAACTCCTCGGAGTAGCTTCTCGCGCAAGGTTCCTCGCCCCGAGAGGTCTCCGCTTTGCTGTATCAGTCGTGTATACGTGTGTGTTATTACGCGGGGGTTGCCTCCCACCAGTCTCGTTCGCCCTTTCGCGGAGTCTATCCGTTTCTCTTGCTCCCTACCTTTGCTCCCCCTATTCGTCGGGTTATATCTCGCGGCCGCTCTCGCTCGCTCTCTCTTTCTCTCTTTCTCCCTCTCTCTCTTTCTCTCTCTCTCTCTCTCTCTCTCTCTCCTCTCTCTCTCTCTCTCTCTCTCTCTCTCTCTCTCTCTCTCTCTCTCTTTCTCTCTTCAACTCTCACTGCTTCTCTTTATACCCGTAAGAACAGAAAGATTCTACCCCCAACCAGCGCATGACAGTGGGTGCGCAACCACACTGCAAATACACGTCTATGTCGTATGTTCGTCTCGACCGCGGATCCTCAGGGCCGTATCACTGCGCTCCGATGCTGCGCGAAAGATCGCGTAATGTGGACAAAATTTTAGGACAGATGAGATGACAATTTTATTTTGAGATTAATATAGGAGAAAAGAATCATCCTTACCGTTTCTTCTTGTTTTAATGTTCTGCATTTGCCGAACTTAACTTATCATACACTCTTGTGTCAGATAATGAATGTATCAATGATAACGGGTTACAATCTCTTCAGACCTAACAGAAGGGGGAGATACAGACTGTTAAAAGTAATCGATTTCTTTTTATGTATGCTTTATAAAATCGTACATAAAGTTATATTATACGATTGTTTCGTTCACCGACTCTTAGGAAAATCGCGCTACACAAATTTCGTGTTTATATAGCATTTATATAGCATCCACGTAATGTTCGTGAAGAAGCGCCACTAAAGGCCCCTCATAGTAATGAGCCTGCAGCACAACATACACCGCCTCGTGGTAGGGATGTGTGGAAGGCTTATTGACCAATCAGTTGCCAGGTTATGCTGGATATGACCAATCACGAAACGCGAAATCGCAAACTACCCTGGAACACCCACGCTCGCTGTTGCGCCTAGTCGCATCGATTTGAACTCTATCGCTTAGTAACGTAATAAGACTTGAACGAAACGAACGACTTTAAATACTCCTGTACAAGCTGGTTATAATACCAATTTTCTTTACCTGACACTATGTTCCGCTTTTCGATCTTTGGATTTGCATACGACTGGACATTCGAAATAATTAAGCTATTCACTGCTAACGTCACATTCCATCTTCCATAACAAATACTTTATACAATTAAAATAATTCATGATAAAAGAACTTCGAAGACTTCGCGACACTTAAGTTTCAAATATTAAGTCATTAATAATTCTCATGCATCTTTTTTAGTGTTTAGAAAGATTTTAAGGCAATATTTAGTAATCTTGCGAATTCTAAAAATTTCATCTAACAAAACTGTCAATGTTATATCTGGTCGTTATTAATCGGTGAATTATTACGCCATTATTCGAATACTAGATGGTAGTATTAAAAATCAATGTCAAAATTGGATATTCGATCCTTATTTTGATTTTTACGATTCTCTCAAAGTGATAGCATTTAATCATTCGTCGTAGATATCGTGTGTCGAGCATCTCTTATGCGACATAATATGTCGTTGGCGAATATCGATTACTTCGAATCGCACATGTGTAAAGAATAAACGTTCAAAAATTAACAGTATTGTTTCAAAATAGATATGTAAAACAGCTATTGCATATTATTGCACTGTTAAAAATAACTTCGCAATAAGCAAGCTTATATGTACGCAGTATATAGGATGGCGCACGAAAAGAATAGATCGACCTTTGCGTATTGTTAGAGCTTTAATAGACACTCCGTCGATAATAAGAGAGTAAGAAACGTTACATTTGCTATAATATTATATTAATATCAAATGCGCTATACTACATAAGAATAAGAATAACTTTTTAAGCGTAAAAAACGATATTCACTGCTTGTCGCTGGAAGATATTCCAGACTCTCAATGTTGTTTTAATTTAGCAAAAAATCTAGTATGGGATAAACATAGTTTACACAGAATCATCGTTTTATTAGATTTCGCCAGGATAATGAACTGAACGCTTATGTGTCAGTTATTCCAGTCGTTAGTTGGACCAACGCAACCCACGCATGAAAATTCTCCCCCTTTCTTTTTCATTACTTTTTCTCTTTTCGCATGATTCTTTTGCTCTCTGATTCTTTTTGTAATAGTATCAACATTATGCCCATATCGTATATCCAATGTGCAAGATGCACATTATCGATATAAACAGTTCTGTCTGTTGTTATCATAACAGCTCAAGTAAACATGGATGGTATTATGTCTCCTATCAATTATATATATACATATATATATATATATTTCCACACAGTTACAGTTGTTAGTTAAGAGTATTGATTTCAGCGTATTCGCGTCAATCCATTTCTTTCATCATGTTTTTCTCTAATCAAGAAAAACGGATAAAATTTAGACTCGCATGAAATTTTTTTTAATTTACTATAACATATTTTTTTACATCGCCATAACCATATTGTTTCTTTTTATTACTAAATGGGCCATTTTGTGACGATTTAACACGTATAAAAGTATCATCATGCTAATACGGAAGTAACTCTAAGGAACATCAGAACATATAGCGTTACAATTCGCACTAAAAAATTTCATTTTATTCTAGGACTGAAGAGAAATAAAAAAATTCAATGTAAATGTACCTCAGTATTTCGAGCCAGTTCTGTGCACATACCTGAATGTAACAGCGTCGCGAAGTTCATTACCGGAAAGTGTCTCTCTCTCTTGAAGTTTCTTACCATGGTCACCGACACCGACGAGATAATATAAAGATTGACAGCCCTGGGTAAATTTTCGTATCAACTAAAGGGGCCCGAAGGGATCCAGAGGTAATTGAAGAGCAATGATAATACCGATTGCTTTAGCTACGCTCATGATAATACAGTTAGCAACTATTGCCGGTGCGAGGTGAGGGGAAAGACAACACGCCGCTACTTATATTTTATCTCATATCACCAACAGTTGCTGAATCGACTAAGCCACGCTGTGAACCGAATGGCTACCACCATAGACATAATATATCTAGACTACGCGTTCTTCCAAATTTCAAGAGTAGGGATATAACTCTCGTAGAAAAGGAAGCACTCTGTTTTTACTGTTCGTTCTCTCTCGCACAGTCCTGATGGAAGAGGAATAGGGGCGGTGATTACTATACAGCAACTGCCTCCCCTATATCCCTTTTCTACGCGAACTATACCCCTACTCTTCGAACACGCAGTCTAGATATACTATGTCTATGGCTACCACAGACTTCTATAGTATAACTAGATTGCTAACTCCCTAAAGCCAGCGGCACACGGTGCTTGTTTTCGGGCTGGATTGCTTGCTGGATGAAAATATTGCGTTGTGATTGGTACATTTCCGAAGATGGATGGAAATGCACCAAACAGAACGCAGTATTTTCATCCAGCAAGCAATCCAGCACGAAAACAAGCACCGTGTGCCGCTGGCTTTATACAGGGTGGGAGATTATAAGTTGACAACCCGAAGTGTGAAGGTAGATTGGGTTAAGATAAACATAAAAGTCCCATGCCGTTTTGCGAGATTCGCAATAATTATCGAGTTATTAATGACAGAAATCTGAGAAGTGGGAGCGCGCCGGCATAGATGATTGGAGAAGCGTTGCAGTTGCTTAAGCCGCAGCGCGGCCCAGTTGATTTAGCAACTGTTGCCGGTGCGCGGCGAGGGGAAAGACAATGCGCTGCTATTCGTTGTTTTATCTCGCCGGACCTACGTCTCGCCGCACGCCGCCAACAGTTGCTTGGTCGAGTGGGCCGCACTGTGGCCTGAGTAGCTGCAACGCTTCTCCAATCATCTACGTCGGCGCGCTCCCATTCTTCAGATTTCTGTCATTAATAACTCGATAATTATTGCGAATCTCGCAAAACGGTATGGGACTTTTATGTTTGTCTTAACCCAATCTACCTTCACATTTCGGGTTGTCAACTTATAACCTCCCACCCTGTATACTGCAGCACAAAATTGACCCCAATAAGTATGTATTACATAAGGGAATCAAACATCTGCGCATGCGTGAATTGGAGTCTAGAAGGAGAGGGGTGTATAAGCAATATGGCCCATCCAATTAGAAGAAATGTGTTTTGATTCAACCAATCAGACGTGAATGTCGGACACCAGGACGGTACTTACTTTTCGGAGTCATATATTGGTTGCGTTCCGATATTCACTGCCAGTACTGAAAATACATAATTTCTGTCACGTATATTGTAGATTTTTAGTGCTGGTAGTGAATATCGGAACGCAGCCATAGAGTCGGAGTTAGCAGTCTAGTTATACTATAGAAGTCTGTGATGGCTACTAACCCGTTCAATGTCCCCACGAGCTCTGCAACAATTGTTAGGAGACAACCTGTATGCAGGGTGTCGCAGAACAATTCCGTTCCTCTATTTACGGACCTTGTCTGCTATCAGATAAAAGCCTGAGAACGGTCATTGAGCCGGATATCCTGGGATGTGCCCTCTGAGAAAATGCATGCATACTACATCCTTTCTAATGGTTACCATCCAGCTCAATGGCCGCTCTCAGGCTCTTCTCTGAAGACACGCAACCCGCTAAATACGAGCAATTTCCGACCATGTTGAACTACTCTATTTAATTTTATAATTTAAAAGGAATTTTTTCGTCTCAATTTTATATATTTATATATAATTGGGTCGATATGATCAAAGTGAGACGAGAATGACTGATTGTAATTTTTTGTTTAACTTTCATCGCATACATAATACAAAACAAAACCAAAATTGTCGATATTACGATGTTACCTACGGAGAAAATTAGCCGTGCAGTTCAAGATTATGTACATGGAAGCGTTTCAAAATGAGGTAACATCGAAATATCATAGATTTGGTTGCTCTCAATATTTTTTTTTCTGGCGGTACGGTGTCACTTGGAATAGCCCGTGTTAAATCAATGTTACATTGAGTCATGTGCATCTCTTGTGAAAGACGCCTGTTTTATATCAGATTGTGATGTGAAAACCAGACGATTTTAATTTACATATCATTGTTGAATCGTGGATATGATCGTTCGTATGACTTCCCCATGGATTTCCCGAGAGGGCGTTAGTTAGCATACACCGAATTTTTTATTATACGCAACTTGCGCAATTCTTGTAAGAATTGTCGATCTTTGGTGATATCTTGCCTTCGGTGGTATTTGTTCGCTAGATAATCGTTATAATTGTTCGTGGAAAGCTCGGAGTGATTCGAAGGACAGTGGATAAGGCCGAGCGAGATCGGACGTCGCCAGTTTCATCCAAGCGTTGAATTGGATCGAGGAAGTTGAAATTGTGGCTAATTGCTAGCCGCAAAATACAAGGTCTGTCGTTCAGTTACACCTCGCTACACTTGATTTCCTCTCTCTCTTTCTCTCTCGTTTTCTGGCATCTCTCACTCACGTGCCTGAACGTATATCTATTTCATTTTAAGGGCAGAAAGTGTAGCTATAAAGCCAACATCTACAGAGAAGTAGAAACGAACACGTAAAACATGGCGGAAGCCGTTGTGGACGGGACCCCGATGTCTCGATTTTTTTGCCACAAATGCAGTGTCGAAATTGAGCGTTTGTTGCCAGTAAGTAGATTATGATAACTCTTACGGCCGTTACCTAACGGCCTAACCGCCTGTCTGAGCCTCCTCGGCACGCCTAAGCGCACAAATGCCATGTAAAGGAACGATCATTACGAGAAACTGTCATTCCGCAACAATGTGCGGAAAGTCCGTCTTTCTTATCTATTTCTGCACAAAACAATATCTCGATCTATCATTCAATTTTTTACACCGAACGCCAAGATACCAAGTGTGGTCTATATTCGTCGCGGAGATGTCTGTATCGTTTTCCCATTATTTCTGAATATGGATTGCTCCATGTGGACTTACCTTATGTATGATTTTCTAAAGAGCATGAATCATCCACAATGTTGTTGCTCTCAAAATTATCTTTGTACATTACGATTTCTGTAACAGCTGTTCTTATATTTTGCAGAATGTTATATTCGTTTTTTTCGCAGAAAAACTATATGTAAATATAAGAGTGATATATCTTAACTTTTGCATCGGTAAACTTGATCCAATCAAGTTTATTCACATGACATGGCTAATTTAATTTTAAGTTATGCGTATAGTATTATCAAGGCACAGTAGTATCTTACATCATATATATCAATATTTAACAAATGAATTGATGGATCATAAGCATATTTAATAATCACTATGTCTAAAATTAGATATATCTAAGTCTGACCTTTGTATATATTTTTATTAGTAAAGATTTAGTAAATTGGAGTTTAATAGATTCTGTTAATTAATCAAAAAATTTAATGGTGTTTCATGAAAAATGTTTTTGTGAAAAATATTAATAATTTCTACTTCTTATAGTAAAATAATTTTTGTGAGAGAATCATCAACCATATCTTTAAAACAAAATTATTTTAATTCTCACTCATACTTTAGTCCATTATTTTAATCAAATCGAAGAATTTATTAGCTTAACTTCTGTATCATTATTTTTTTTCTTATTAGAATTACACATGTCCACGATGCTCAAGTGGTTTCATCGAGGAACTAGAAATTAGCACTAATGAGTGCAACTCAACAGTGGATGTGAGCAATGAAGATCTGAGTGATGTTGATGTTGATATTTTAGGATATAATGTGAGCAATTTAGTCTAAACAAAAAATTTTTGATAAGTTAACACAATATATGTTTGTAATCATTTTAAATTCTGTTCACTTGACACAGTCTTCACAACGTTATCCACCTGATCGAGATTTGATAGATATGATATTGGGCCTTTCAAACACCAATCAACAGCCAGGCGCAGGCAGCAGAAACTATGTGCTTGGCAGCAGAAGAAGGTCTAACTGGAATCGTACTCCTCCAGAAGGACGTCGTAGTAATAGGTATAGCACTTTATTCTTCTCTCTGTATTTAATTACACTTTGCGTATAGCGATATAATAATTCAAATTTTAATTTAATGTCTAATTTATTAAATTTTTTTTTCTTTTTTTATGTTGACGCGTCAAGATATACATACACACCTTCAAGAATGTAAACTTCAATTATTGGTATATATATATTGTGCATATGAAAAATTGGTAAGTTAGTAATTGAATTATTTTATTTCATTTAGTACTCGAAGGAGACAAGAAACCTTACCAGTGCCCGTAGAAAATTTCATACAAGATTTTATCTTCAACCTGTCAGGAGCAACTGGTCTGGGTCACACTGTGGGACAGGATGCGCAACCATCTGTGTAAGTTACCCTATGCTATTTTATCGTAATTATAATCGATATTAAGTGAATTATAAAACATCGCAAGTATCAAATAATAAATATGTCTAAACTTATAAAATCAACTTTAATTCAATATTTTCGAAATATATTCTCTGATAAGTAAGAAAGTTACGCGGTTGTACATCGCATATTGTTAATTTTTACATTAAAAAAAGTAAATAGTAAAATACACAGGATATAAATGAAATAGACGATCAAACTTTGAAAATATATTCCAGTCATCTGAAATATGAAAAAATATCGTGTAAACATAGGTTTAGAAACTTTTTGTGTATATGTGTGTTTATAGTTCCAGTTTATTTTAATCTTCCTTTTTTTCCTCTGCTCCTTCTCCATTCATTCTGTCTTCTATTACGGATGTGTGCATTTTCGTAAAGCTGCGCACATGCATCAACGTCCTAATATGCTTTCTTGACAGCGTCAACGGCAATCAGAGAAAGCTCGTTCATCCATGAAGAACAAGTCATTAAAAAAATTTGATTTATTCCTTAGTGTTACTAAAATAATAACGAAATAATGTAGATTCAATATTAGACTGTTCTTGGGAAATCCTGGAGATTATGTTTGGGGTCGCGATGGATTAGATGCTATTGTTACACAATTATTGAATCAAATGGATGGTACTGGGCCACCGCCTTTACCACGCAAGCAGATCGACGAAATACCCACAACCACCATATCGCAAAGCCAAGTTGGTTAGTATTTAATGTTATACAGTGAGAAAAAAGAAGTATTTACACACTGTATCCTTTTTAGACTAAATTTATGTAGGAAAGGCAACGTATATATACAATGTTGCAGAAAGGCTACTACGTTTGCTGCAAACATTCTTATCAGGATATATATTATGTGTATGTTTTCATGTTGTATTAATGCATTAAGTAAGTGTATATTATAGCAGCACTTTTTCATTTATCCTGTTGGATTATTCAAAGATTATAAAGTGTACAAATACTTTTTTCCACCCACTGTATCCATCTAGTTTGGTTTGCAGTATATTCGTGCAGAGCATCCTATCAGCCTAGGTACTGATTTGATGTATAATAATAACAACAATATAATTGTTGTACATATTGATTTGTATAAGGATTTATATAAAATGTCTGGTATTATGCAGATTCTAAACTACAATGTTCCGTTTGTTGGGAAGACTTCAAATTGTCGGAACCTGTTAGACAGCTACCTTGTCAACATGTCTATCATGCACCGTGCATTGTGCCATGGCTAGAATTAGTAAGCTAAGAAAAATTGATGAATTTTCCATTTTTATTAATGATTTTCAGATACGTCAGTATCAGAACGTGCACCTTATATGATATTTTTTTTTTGCCAGCATGGAACTTGTCCTATTTGCAGACAAAGTTTGGGAGATCAAAATTCAACTGAGGCAAACCAAGATACTGTTGGCCCCAGTTTAGCTGCTTTATTTAGGTAAGTTCCTTTTCTTTGAAAAAGCGAGATATTCCACTGATGTAATATTTGTTTTTCAAATGTGTTTTCAAAAGATCATGCTTGACTCAACAAAATTGTCACGAGAATAATTAAAATGTTAACCACGTTTTAATTATTTAGAGTTAAAATTTTGTGAACCTTTTCCAACGCAAAAATAAAATCTTTATATAAGAATTTAAAGACATAATTAGACATTCTATTTCATGAAATTTTGTTTACAAAATTTCCTTAGTGTAATAAAGAAATAAATTGTTTTAAATGATTCATAATGTTTAGTTGTTTTACAGTTTTTTATTCCTTTTTTTTTTTATCTATAAGAATTGTATCAGCAAATGCTTTTAAAATAAATTTTTATGATTTGTTAGTAATATATTGTCCGTGTATCACATAGGGCAGCTAATGAATCAAACAGTAGCCGCACGTCATCCACTTCGTCATCTGCGGACAGTAGCTCCAGTACTTCCTCGAGTGAGATTTGAGAATGATATTTATCTTTCAATTATCTTATTTCACGCGTAATTTAGCCGAATGTGTATCTATTTTCACAATATTGATTATAATTACCAACATTTTCTTGTTCTTAACGTAATGCATATATCTTGTTACAGATACTACCATGTATTAACTGCAAAATTTAAACTATATTGTCACTTAATCGACCGATATCTCAATGTGAAGTGTTGAGTTGAAAACGACCGTTATGTTCCACATTCAGCGAATTATACTAAATGAACATCAACATATAATAGCAAAATCATAGACCATCGATACATATTTGTCTTTATTGGGGTTTTTTCTTTTTTAATTGCACTCCGTAATTTAATTCGAACTTAAGAAGATTTTCGAATCTAATACTTTTCTCATTAGATAAAGGACTTTGATGATTCAATTCCAGTAAAAATGTAAGACTTACATGAGATGGTCCTTATCGACATTGTTTACGTATTGACAGCTTCGCTTGAAGTAGCGATAGTCAAAGTAAACTCGAAATAACGAAATTGACGGAAATAACTCTAATATTTATATAAAAACAATTTTCGTATCGCCGAGACTCAGTAAAATATATATGCATAAATGTACAACGTAAGCTAATATACAAAAGAATTTAAAAGAAGGGAAATGCGACTTTTGCAAAAAAGATAAATTCATAAATTTAAACCATGAATATAAATATCACCAATTCTTCAAAAGAAAGAGAAAACTCACTGCATACAGAGATACTTTTGTCTGTGGAAAGACATTTGAGGTTTATACTATCAGCAGTGAGTCAGCAGAAATCAGCAAACCGTATAAGAGACTAATGAAACTAATGAAACTAACAAAATGTAAAACATAATATTTAAACTATATTATTTTGGCTTTTAATCTGTACATAACGCCAAAGGATTGTATTAAATATATAAAGGAATATTTCAGGTCGTAATCACTTCTCTTCTATTTTTACGTTTAATCGTGTCTGATGAAGTGACTATATTAAAATATGTACATATACTTCAACAGTTTCTGAGTCTCGACGAATAGAGAACAAAAAATAAGATATGTGACGAACAGTTTCGTTTTTCAGTTTGAAACGTTCTTGAGAGATATAAAGTTTTCTGCTTGATGCACTATTTCTCAGTTCATCTTTTTCACGGAAACTAATGTTTATGATACAAATGCGTATGAGAAATAGAGATACAACACGTATCTGCACATATTTCTATAGCAGAAGAGATACTTACAAGAGGACAAGCACACACTCGTAAACGTAAATCCTTACAACCACAATGTGTAGTTTGCAGCGATTGACAGAGTTAACATTTACATTGTAAACCTGAGAATGTAACGTAAAAAAAAAAATGTAAGTAGCATTTAGATGTCTACATATAGTTACCTAAATTTTTCGGTCAATAATTGTCATGTATACAAATAAAAACGGAAAAACGGTTTCCGCGTTATCTATGTCGCGCAATAGACGAGCACCCTCTGCTAGAACGCGTTACACAACAGGAGAAATAACGCATTACGCTACTTTACGAATGTCGTTGTCTCATATTTGAATATATCATTTATTTTGGAAAGTACTTGAATATATCAAAGTATTAGGAGTCGAGTTAGTATAAAAAAAAGTTTCGAGTGTGGGATATAAATTTTTTCTTTCTTTTTTTCTGTTTTATATACTGGAGTGCATAGAAAAAAATTTTTTGAGTGTAGATGGATGTAGATGAGTTCACCGTCTCATTGGCTCACGCATATATTATCTCCAGGGGCTAGCGCCCAGAAAGTGAGCTTGTCTTTATTACATTTTCATTTATTTTATATGTTAATTATTCGTGAATTGCTACCAAGCCGAAATAAAAGGATGCAAATTTAACGGATGAAGCTACCACTCCACAAAGTTGCGTCCCTTTTGTATACTATCTCGATAATTATTGGGCACCTCGTATCGAAACAGCGATGAAGCATTTGTGTAACGGAAATGTGTAACTTATAGAAGTGCATCTACGATATATTTATATTGCATATATATGTATGACTTATATATAAATACATATGGCTAAATTTAGAATAAAAGTAACTTGCTTCTTTTATAACGTTTTTAACATATTGCAGATTAATGTTGACAAACTGTTTTACTGTTCGTTTAAAACATTTTTGTGAGCGCACAAATGTAATATTTTATTAAAAAAAGAATAAAATATTTGTCTAACAAATCTTTTTTATATCTCCGATAGTGATCTAGATAGTACAAAAGGGAGTTCCATCTTCTGTAAACTTGCACCTCGATCGATAAAAAAATATGTACATCTTTTAATTTTCGTATTTTATAGAAGTAATTAGAATTTCATTATAATTGAACATAGATGTTTCGTGAATGTTCTTTATGAGTATCCGCATTACTTCTTGTGTTGTGTATGTACATAAACATTGCGATTTGACAGTTGAGGCAAAACTTTAAACTTTGTGTTTATGACTCGTGTAGTGTATTTACACGCAACAACGTTATATCGATTTAGGATAACCCAATAAGTTAAAAAAAAAAGCTGACTGTCTTTTTAGCTAGTGTCTCTATGTAATAATATTAAAAATGTTTATAATTGTAAAATTTTCTTGTGCAAAATTTTATACATTGATGTACATTATATATACACGAATATATTACATACATATATACATACAACATACATACACGTGCGCACGTACAGCACGCACGCATATATGCAATAAAAAAATAGATTGTACATTATAAACAATAGGTCTGTTCTTTTTATCTGTCTTTGTTAGCTATAATTAGTGCTACACTGGAACACTATTATATATAATCATTGCACTCTGAAAAGGCAAATAGTGCAAAGCAGTTCAGCTAAAAAGAACAGACCATATGAATATCTCTGTAAACTTACGATTTTTACATAGAACAAATAGACTCGAAAACTTCATTCAGACGTAACTAATGCTAACTTAAATTATATACATTTAATTTAAATTATATCTATGTAAGGACACGTAATATTAATTTTTATTAATATAAGATACTAAAAACTTGTTCAATATCACTTAATCTGTAAGTTTTAACTCTAAAGAGCAATTCTCTGTCCTTCCTCTAACAATCCAATTCTCCGTTAAAAAATGAAACTTCATTTCGAGGTAAACAGAGAAAGAGAATTGTGTATAGTTCGAGATAAACAGAGAGAGAGCAGTTCAACTTGTATTATAATGATACTAATCTGCTATTAGTAGTAACAATCACTAGTATGATAGTATAATATTACTAGTAATCGTTACTAATATTAATTTACTACTTCCTCATCCCATGTTACTATATACAAGAACTTTTATTCATTTGCCACGTGATTCGTTGATTCGTTCTTCAGGTTCTCTATTTGATCCGGAATAACGATATCAGACTGTTCAGTTTCCTTGTGCAAAGCTATGATGATCTTTTGCTCGGTGGAAGACTGACTATCGGAAGATCCTTCTTGTGTTGAAGTAGCAGCTTCCTATAATTTTATGTTTCATGAGTGAAAATATATCTTTCATGTTGCCATTACATGTTAAATTACATGTTATGTTTCATCTTACATTAAAGTACATCGAAACTAAGTACGTACCGTACTTCGAAGTTTCGTGTGTGTTTTCACGTGTTTTGTCAAGTGATCCGAACGCATGAACTTCTTTGAGCATTCCGTACACTGGAAGCGCTTCTCGCCGGTGTGTGTCCTACGATGCCTCTGAAGCTCGTCAGATCTGGTGAATTTTTTGCCACAAAATACCCAAGTACAAACAAACGGTCGTTCGCCAGTATGCCAGCGTAAATGAGCGCGTAAATGACTCGTTTTGCCATATACTTTGTTACATCCAGCGATGTGACATACATGTTGCCGCTTTCTACTCATATCTCGGTTTCTATAGGAAAATTATATATTTATATTTGTCTGAGGCTCTCTTGATTCCTCGCTGCGCGCTGCGGTTCTCTCGATCGATGGCGTCAAAATTGACGAGAAAATTAAAAATTCTTGCAAAACATGTTGAGAAATATATTCATAAAATGACATCTGTAATCGACCGGGATCTTTAAAATACTTTGAACACTCTCCCTTTATACCAACAATCAACGAATCATAAAATTAACGTGCAACTCGCCCTTTTAACAAAAGAAAAATATACGTTTGGATTAATTTGTACATCTGCTCGATTCTTCATCATTTTGTGAATATATCCATTTCAAAGTATCTTGCAAAACTTTAGCATAAGTTTCTTCGCTTCTGACGTCATAATTCAAGAAAAGCGCAGCAAGAAAACAGGATAACTTGAAATATAAGTATATATCGCTAAGGTATAAGTATATATTTTCTTATGATCATTATAACTGGTATAATTTTTTGGCTGGTGTTAACAGCCGATTTCTATCACATGATAATTCATAAAAGAACAATTGTATCGTACTATGAGGACAATTTTATAGAATTAATTCACAATAGTATTTGAAGAATATCTATACTGTTTGGAAAAATCGCAGAAAATCGCTCACCTGTCTCCCTCGCCGCAATTGGGACATGTGCACGCAACTCTTCTACGGTGCTGCTTGTTACTATCGGTCTCACCATTAGGGTTGGACGCACTCGATACCTGTTGTTGTTGGGGTATAGGAGTGGTCGTTGTCAAGGTTCCGTTCGACTGAAGCGTCTGGAGAATCTGCCACTTGGTGGAATCGGATGAATCAAGTTGCACGGTTGGCGTCGCGACGATGGGAGTAGCAGCAGTGGCAGGTAACGTTTGTACCGTAGCGGGTTGCAACGCACTCGCTGGTATCACCTGCACATTGCCCAAGCCTGGAATATTCTGCACAGGTATCGATTGCAAGAAGCCATTGGTCGTGTTCATTCCAGTAGCCGGCTGAATTTGCATTATACTTCCGTTGTTCACACTCCTCATCACATTGCCTTGTTGCGTAGTCAAATTTGTTAGCGCGGATGCCGGAATGAGCGTTAATTGCTGCCCTTGCGCCCCTGCAACAAACGTTCCGAATGTATTATTGCAGATTCGCTCGAGAGAATCGGCAATTCCCTTCAGTTAGTGTCAACGAGAGAAGATAGCGATCGGACATCTCTACCTGTAATCGTGATAGGTTGCACCGTCGTAGGTTGGGTCGACTGGGCAGCAGGGATATGTATTACCTGGCCACTGGTTAATTGACTAGCATCGATGCTGGTCACTTTAATGTCACCTTCGACTGTTTCTGGCGCTCTTGCCAGGGTCGATAACGTCTGTACGTCGATCTTTTGGCCGTCTTTTGTGGTAATTACGTTAGCGTTTCCTGCTACAGTTCTTCCTAGTGAGCTTATACCAAGTACCTGGAGAGACCGAATTTCTTAAGCAATGCAACAATACCAGTAGACGTGTAAATGCAAAGGGGATCTCCCAATTTAGAAATCTATTACCTGCACGTTGCTAGGAGTTGCGACTGTTGTGCTCCAAGTTGCTACAGTCGATGATGGAGTGGAAGATTGTTGTATCTGCTGCTGTTGCTGCGATTGTTGCTGCTGTTGCGCTCCTGGCTGCGCTTGCTGCTGCTGTTGTATCACTTGCTGCACCACTTGTACTTGCTGCTGTTGCTGTTGCGCTTGGGCGACTTGCTGCTGCTGCTGCTGTTGAACCGACTGCACTACCTGTTGCTGAGTTTGTTGCTGAACGACTTGTTGCTGCGCCTGTTGACACACAATTTGATAAACTGCTTGTGCTATTTCTTGATTCTATAATTACGTTAGTATACACGGTGTTTAGTGAAATTATACAGGAGATGATTTATCCTTAGATTCGACTTATTCTTACCTGGAGACTCTGCAGCTGTGGTATATTGGCTATTTGCACTTGCTGGATGTGACCATTTGGCGCGATTATTGACGCCACTTGAGGTAACTGCTGAAATTAGAATGACCAAAATATGCATCTTCGTTCATATGCAATCGCATATTAATTATATTAACGAATAATATTAACGAAAATTAATTAAATTAATCTATCATTTTTCGACCAATATGCATAATTATATACTTGGTTGACATAATTAAATGATTATGTCTCGTGACTTACTTGTGTGATTTGAGGTATCATTTGCGTAGCGGTAGGTACATTAAAAATATTGGACAAAGTTTGAAGAGGAAAGTGTACAGTCTGAAAAATGGTTTGGCCATTGCTGGCAGTGACTGGTACTTGCACAGGCACAGCTTGTTGAACATGTTGCATAGGAAATTGAAGTGGCCTTACTTGTACACTTTGACCTATGGAAAGATATGATCGCGTCATTGGGTCATTTTCACACCGGAAGAACAAAAATCACGCAAATAAAAAAAAATAATACAAAATATCGAAAGATATACTTATGATATAAAACTAAAAAAAAAAAGTAACTAGGCTCTATTTAAATCCCACCATTAGGTTTTGAGAGACATACCTGTTGGCAATTGCACTGTTTGTCCAGCGATATTCTGTATAATCGAAGGAAAGACATTGGGCGCTCTTATCAGGCTAACAGGTTGAGGTGTGATAATAGTTTGACCATTGGCTAGTTGCACCTGTTGACTAGCTAGTTGCATTTGCTGACCATTCGCGGTTGCAAATTGCATTGTCGGCTGTGTTTGATGATGGCTGCCCGCCGCTGATATCGCAGAGGACGGAATAAATAGAGCCTCTTGTCCATCTATATTGACGGCTTGCATTTGCGGAAGTACATTGTAGCCAATCTGTTGTTGTTGTGATTGCTGTTGCTGCTGTTGAGTTTGCGACTGCTGTGGCTGTTGTTGATTTGATTGCTGTGGCTGTTGCTGAAGGGCCTGCGTTTGAGTACTAATAATCTGAGCACCCTACAAAATGCATTTATAAATGATCAATAAGTTGGATTTACAAAAATCGAGAAAGCAAAGAATTGATTGATTGAAAGAATAAGAAAATGCTTTATATTTACATTGATTATAAATAAAATTATAGGATCATTATCTTATTATGTACCTGCAAGAACTGATGGGGCAGAGATTGAACAGAAATTGTTTGTGCTCTCTGTTGATCATGTGCTTGTTGAGTTTGTAAAGGCACAAAATTCTGCAACTGTTGCAGAGTAATAACTTGCGGTTGTTGCTGCTGCTGCGCTTGTTGCTGAACATCCTGTTGCTGCTGTAATTGTTGCAATACATTAGCACTTAAAAAACGAATTTGTGGCTGGGCAGTTTGTTGCTGTTGTTGATCTAATTGTTGTGGGTCTGCTTCATCCTGCGATGGCAACTGTGTTTGCAGGGGATCCTGCTCTTCAATTTCATCCTGCAAATGAATATTCTATTTTATTTGAAATATCCTATGTATGTCATGTATAAAAAGGTCTATATTATTTATATAAATTTTGCTGACTGTTACTATCACAGAAATACACACACATATGCTATTAAATAATTATAGAGAATATTATACTTTTGAATGTATTTGCATTTGAGAATATAACACTTACATTAACATTATATTAACATCAATATAGAAAAATAGATATTACAAAAATAATCAAACATATAATAAATATTTTACTTGTGAAATATTTCTTCCATCTATGCTCCGTTTCATGATGAATAATTGTGTTTTATACTGCATTCAACTTATAACAATATATCTGATGCCATTTCGTATAGAGTACCACTGTGCTAGGAATCCATAACACAAGTATAACTATGTTAACAACTTGTCTACTGCTATGGAAAAGGACTTGTTCTGGAAATTTTTCTGAAACAAAGAAACAGAAGGTTAAATGATTTGTATCAATTTATTTATTAAAGATTACTGCTAATTTTATAGCAAATAAAATTATGGGTATTATGAAATATACCAAAATCAATGTTTAATTCGTATAAATTTTTAATCCGACGACTAAAATACTAAAAGTGAGAATAAAGAATATTTGCAGAGGTAGATTTGCGATAAGATCAAAGAAATTTCAACATTTAATGAATGAACAAAATTATACTACTACTACTACAGTTATTGGAAAATTATAAATAGATTCGAGAGCTGTCTTATAAAGTAAATAACGGCAAAGAAATAGTACCAATTAGAATCGACTGCTTCATGATTGTCTATTAAAACAATTCAAAACCATTCTCTTTTCTTTGTTAACTTAATAATCAATAATCTATTATTCATTTTTCGAACTTATATTTTAACCTTTCGCATACGTAGAACAACACTTACAGCTGTCGAAATGTCAGACAAACTGTGTCATGATGCACGAATACCCAGATACGATGTATTCGAATGAAAAATATCTAGATTTGAGTTGGACGGCATCAAAGATGCTACATCTACATTTAGTTTCTAGGAAACTACCATTTTCCACGCGCTTCGGAACATAGTCGACAACCAATGGGAGAAAGCTTTTGAGTTCTTACAACATAAGCTCTATCTCATTGGGCGTCGGATAAATGCTCCTGAAAATGACTCTCAGACGGTGCCAACCGCTCGAAATGCTAGTTGCCAACCCAAGTTACATAAAAGCGCGGGATATTCAATGAAATACACTGAATGCGCAATGCTTTAACTAACGAATATTTCACATTCTTTTACATATTTTAGATATTTACTTATGATTTTGCATTTTATCTTATAAATGCCATATAATCTGATTAATATTTAAGATATTGCTATCTTTTTCACGTAATTAAATCATATATGAAAATCCAACATGATCGAAAAGTCCTGGTGACCTTATACCTAGTGAACGTTAAAGCATTTACGCAGTCTTGTAACGTTATCGTAACTCGAATATCGAAGAAAAATCAGAGTTTCGATTGATAAAATAGCAAAATATCGAAAATGGGTGAACTATTCCCGAGATAGCACGAGAGTGAAATAATTTTAGATATGTTCAAAATGTACTTGAATATTACTCAGAACATTCTGTATATGTTTTGGGCTTCTGGGTTTCGAGATAATTTGTGCTACCTGGAGTGAGTTACAAAAGAACAGAGCTGAAGAATAAAGCGAAAGAGATGAGAGCTGTCCTTTCATGCCTTATCCTTCAAATTCCCTTTCATTTTTTGACTCTCTATGCATTTACGATCTTTCTTTTTTCACTCCTTTTTATGTTAAAGGAGTTCCTCCAGCATCGTGGAAAGTTTCCAATATGAAAGCATCCGGGAAATGTTCACTTTTCATGAGTCGATATTAAAGAAAAATCGTTCCGAACGTTCTCCAGGAATACGTAATTGTACGCGTTGAAGACACAGCGTGATATGGCCGATAATAGATTCTTGCGAAAATCACGTCGATACGAGGAAAGCACCACGTGCGAAAGACTCGCACCGCTCTCGTCACTCTCCAGGAGGAGACAAACGAGAGACCGTGGAGCGACGAGAGGCGAGTCCGCGAACATCCTCCTCGCGAGAACCCGATCGAGGGGACCGCCTCCTTACGCCCCTGTGTCTACCGCCCCTCCCGGCTCGTATCGAAGCACTCGCGCACGATCCCAACACAATGGCGATCTAACCATGTGTGCGTCACACACCCGCCCACTCACCCGCTCGTTCCTCGTGACGCTCCTCACTCACACCCTGGCGCTCCTGATAACGGGGAAGGCAGCCTCGCAATGCAGCCTCCACCCACTTTGCGCACCGGACTCCACCTAACTTGGAAGTACACCTAACGAGCACGTGTTACCTCGCCGGGGAAGACACCACCAGTTAGCCGTCCCTACACCAATACCAGCGCCATAAATGTCCAGATAGCCCGAGACCAAATACAGCAATAGTGGAAACGTCCAATAGTCCGAGCTACTGATGGTGCTACTCAATGGTGCCCATCAATGATGTCCACGTTGCTCTCGACCCCGCCAACGACGATCTCACTCGAGATCGGTCGAGAGGCGACACCACACACGTGCCAGTCTGTTTACGAAGAGACGAGGCACCGTCGTGATAACACCACCAATACAGGCGAGCAGTCTCACAACCGGAAGCACACGACCGTTTCGCTCGCCTTTGTTCGGTGCGTCGTGTGTACAAGATACAAAGCCATACACGTGCCACACGATGCGCGCCACCGAACTACGGTATATATGCGCTCTCGCTCTCGCGCCCGCGCACGCTATAACTGTGGCGGACACACAGCGATCGCTAACTGCGTTAGCCCGCGTTGGTCGATACACGAGAGATCCGCACTAATCCGGCCGCGGTGCTGACGGTATCCAACAACAGCGGTAGCGTACAGTGTTCGCCAACACTCAGCATACAGGCGTACAGGCTACTCTCACCGAGCCGAGACGCGAGCCTCGAGACGACGCGTTATCCGTAGACCCGACTCGACGATCGAGCAGACGGTCAAGAAGCGCGAACACAGTGATATCACCGCCGCACGTGTGCACGTAAGCGCATACACCCACTACACGCCCCGTTTGGCCTCCTCTTATTCACGTCTCGCGGAAACGGAAGAACGAATACTAACGAATACCGTCGTAAAGACACCCCAGCCTGAACGTAGCGACAACGCACAGGCGCACGGACTCATGGACAGAGAGCGATGGGGCGGCGCGCGAAGTCGCAACGTCGCCAACGTCGCAACTTGCGCTCGGCGAACGATGCCACGGCCACGTCGATTGGTCGTTGGTGCTTCGCACTGCTCGTGACTGGCTGCCACCACCGCCGGCCGACCGAGTTGACTGGAGCTGCACGGGTCTGGCTGGGGCGTCAGGGGCGTACGCAGGATCTGTTCGGACGCCCACTCCATTAAACAGAGCTAAACCCCACGCGCACCTCCTACTTTCTCTAGTCTCCCTCTTCCTCCCGTTCTACATCAAGCCACGTCCCGCCAAATTTTCACCTAATATGCGGGACGTGTTACCTAACACGTACGGTGTCGCGGGACAGCCCAGTCCAACGGTGACGACTGTGGACAATAGTGCGCAGATCGTCTAACGTACCATGACGCACATATGCTCGAGGTATTGGACCGAAGAAAGTCTTCTGATACGGCCTGGAAATTTCTTCAAATAGTTGCTGCAAGATTACTTCCAGCACGTGTCAGTGAATTTTGTATTGATGAGTAAGTGCGCAGGTAGCAGCGAAACGTGTTCTGTGCTTACATGATTGAGGAAAAATATTTTGGATCTATCTATGATTTTCTAACTATAGGAAATTTACATGCATTATAGAACCATGTCACTATTTTCTCACAGTGATATCTCATCAATTTAATATTTGAATACTAATTTTCTTAAGGATCCACATGATATTTCTGATTAACTGTCTTTTTTATCTTTATTATATTTTATAGTGTATGACATTGGGGCATATGAAGAAGAAAAATATACAAAAGATATATTACAAATATTTTGTAGAATTATCTTTGCAATAATGTAATAAATAATATAATAAAGTAGCATGTAATAAGATATTCAATGTATGATGATATAGTATAATATACTGAGGAATTTATGCAACTGCTATTTTAATAATATTCAGATTAATAAATGAGCGTTGATACACATGATTACAGACATTAATAAACTCTACGCAATAGCATTGGTCAGCTTGTGAATTACTTAACTACAATTTCATTTTATTTTACATTTTTAATTTTCTATTAAATTAAAAATATTAATCTACATAACAATACATAACAATTAAGATCTTTGCAGCATTTTCACTGATCAAGTTGTTTTTCTTCAGTTGTTTTGCCAAATTGCTTAAAGACTTACTTTTTATCGGAGTCTATTAGACGCTTATTGTAATGCTTTTATTTCTTTCTTTTGTTCTAAAATGGTCTTTTTAGTTACATTTAATACTATTTCAGCTTTTTTAAGAGTTTCTAAATAAAACTTATTAATATCATTAGGATATCGTATTAACCTTTCTGAAACTTTTGTCGCAGTAGATTCTATTACACATATATCTAGAGAAGGAAGTAGTGGTACTATATGACTTTCTATATACACACACACACACACACATACATATGTATAAATAGTTAAAAAAATAAGAATATCAGTGCACATATATACATATATCCATATGTATGTCTAAGACTATTTATAGTTAATAGGTAACTATATTTAGTTACAAGAGAAATATTATTCCCTCCTTCATTTCATTCATCACTTTTAACTGATAAAATATGATCTAATCTTGATTATAATCAATATATATTGAAGTGAGAAACTTTAAACCTAATATAATAATATAATGTTTATTAATAAAAATCTCCCAAAATATATGTACATACATATTAAGAATAACAACATACAGAATATTACAACTTATCAACATTTATTTTTTCATTAATTAATATAGAATCTTTATTACTTTATGTTAAATTACTTGAAGATATATCCCTTGTTTCCAGATCTAATCAAAATTTACAATTTTAAAAGTTCATTTCTATTCTTTATATATAATATTTATATATAATACAATATAAAAATATTTTCTTAACTACTTAATAAATAATTTCTTAATTAAATGATAAAATATGGAATTGTCTTTCAAAAATATAGTAATTGCAAGTAACATAAATTATATCTTTTTGTATTTTTATCTAATTTGCCATTAAATGGCAATGCCCTAGTTTTTTAAATTTTATATTTGTCTCCTGCTCTAATCATAAAATCTTTAAAATGTTTGTTGCAAAGTATAGTGTGGAAGGTTATGTCTAACTCATCTACTTTAAAAAATTTTAACCATATTCTTCTCCATACTATATCTTTAGGAAATCTGAACGTTATATATATATATAAACAAAATATATACAGTAATATATATATTTGCATTATCATCATATTTACATTATCTTGTATACATACATATACACGTACATATGTGTAAGTGTACATAAGATAGTTGAGTATATATTTATTTAAGAAGTCTCATTTCAGAATACTGAGATACAATCTGAATAACAAGGATTTCGAAAGATAAAATTATCTTTCGTCGGTGGAAGAAATTTTTGTTAACGAACAAATAGCGATGTGTCAAAGGTTATGAAGTCTGTCATACCTCTACGCGTAAAATTGAATCGGTTGAAGACATTTTCGTCGAAATAAAGTTAGATCTTTACATTAAAAATTGACTAGCAGTTATGTAGATAATTGCAACATTATATAGAGGCTTCAATTCCTAATACTTATTTATAAAAAGATACATTTTCATTGCCTTTCACAGATTTTCTTATTTACATAATATGCAATAACATGTCATTTTGATATATTTATTATGCGTCTGGAACTTGATAATATATAATGCATCTACAGCAGTTAATACTTGATTACGAGAAATTTTAAATAAATACCTATATATAGTAAATTAAACATATTGTGTAATGCACAAAGAAATCATCCAATCATAATCCGTGTAGATAAAGGATATATTAGACATACGATTAGTCGATTTCTTTATACATATCCATTATAAGACTAGGCCTGTACTTTTTAGCTAAATTGGGTTGTACTTTTTTATTGTAACAGTTTTTTTACCTTTAGGATGAAACCAATCTAGCATCGAAGGGAAAATAAATGAAGTTTCAGCTTGTACCTCCATGCTTGTGTGTATGCGTCAGCTTATTAGAAAGAGAAAGATAGATACTTCCAAGGCCAATATTCATAGTCGAATCTTATATTTAAGATCATCCTAAGTTCACTTTCAGATACCCCGTAGTCAATGAAATGACTTGTACAGCATCTAAGGATAAACTTAAGACAGTCTTCAATATAAGATCCGACTATGAATATCGGCCTAAGGGTGCGGTCCAATCACCGCTACAAATGCCTCGAAAATGTTTTTACTTTTCTCCCTTCATTCGAATCCGAAAGACAGAATAAGAAAGAGAAACGGTTCGAAACACTTGCAGCGGTCACTGGACTGCACCTTAAATCATATATCTATCTGTACCACGTTTCCCACCTATTAGTTTCATATGCTTTTCCGGTATAGTTATATTTCAGAGAACAGGCTTATAGAGGCTGCGTTCCGAAATTCATTGGCCGCGTTCAGTAGAACAAAGTGATCAGAGAGCGCTTAGTGATTATTGTCTGTGATTGGAGTATTCTTTTAGATTCTTCATAAACCCAGAAATATTTATCAATCAGGAGCGAGATTCAGTGGTAAATCTAATGTTGTCCAACTGTTGAGTCTGCTGAATGCGGCCATTGTCAGTATTGAAAATCTGTAGTATACGTGACACAAACTATGTATTTTCAGTACTGGCAATAGATTTCGGAACACAGCCAGAATTTCCACAAGTACATTAGAGCCAGTATTCATAGTTGGATCTTATATTTAAGACCGTCTTAAGTTCATCTTCAGATGTTATACAAATTATTTCATTGGCTACGGGGTATTTGAAGTTGTACTTAAGACGATCTTAAATATAAGACTTGACTATGAATACCGGCCTAGAAGGTAGAAAGGCTAGAACGTTCATTTTTCGATGTATCTTGGAACACATTGATTTCCAGGCTGCGTCCCAAAATTCATTGCTAATACTGCAAATATATGGTTTGTATCATAAATACTATATAATTTCAATGCTAGTAGTAAATATCGGAATGTAATCTCAATAAAGGAGTTGCATTTACTATATTAGGGACGGTATTCTTAGTTCTGGTTTACAATGATGACTTAAACTTTAAGCCGTAAAAAATTAATCAATCGTAGCCGACTACTTTCCTTATACCTCGTCTACAATAGAAGTTATAGAGTCGTAAGTCGTACAAATTGATCAATCGCGGTCGATTATTTTTCTCTTACCGGACTATGATTGGTCAATTTCTACGACTTACTACTCTACGACTTCTATTGTAGACGAGGTATTACACTCGACTGTGATTGGTTAATTTGTTGTTGCTTAAAGCTTAAATCACCTATTGTAGACCGGAACTTATATTTAAGACCGTCTTAAGTTTACTTTCAGATACCCCGTACCTAATTAATGAAATAATTTGTACAGCATCTGAAAATGAATTTAAGACGAACTTAATATAAAGGCTCGTCTACATTAGCTGTAAGAGTAAGGCTGTAAGATTGCAAGGCACGAAATGAAATATTTTCATTCGCTGACAGCTTACGTTACAGCCTTACAGCCTTACTCTTACAGCTATTGTAGACGAGCCTTAAGATTCGACTATGAATACCAGCTTAGAACTCAGTTTAATTTTATTTGACAAAAATTATTAGCAATATCGAAAAGTATATAATTATTTCTATTAATTTTTATATTCGGTCAACAAATTTGGATCGAGTTTTGACTTTGTGAATATAAATCATACAAAAAGATCCATCTTTTAAGAATTTCTTAAAAATAAATTCTTTCATCGAACATCGTTCCAAAATATATTGAAGACCAATTTAAAAATAGAAAACAAATTTTTGTTTTCTATTATTAAGTTAATGTACACTTTCGAAACTTGAAAAGAGACAAATAAAGTCTACGGCACATGTTATTTGTTTTCTTGCTAAATTATGTACAAGTTAGTTAATTACTAGAAATATACCATAGAGAACGTTGTATTTCTAATATGTTACTGCGTTTCTAAGGCCAATGTTCATAATCGAGTTTATATTTAAAACTGATTGCACACAGGACGCAATATGTTTGTCGCGACGGAAATTGATAAGGGAATACTGTGGTAGTCATTTTGTTTATCCGGAAATAATATAAGTGCTTAAGCGTTTAATAAAGCCAGCGGCACACGATGCTTGTTTTCGTGCTGGATTGCTTGCTGGATGAAAATATTGCATTCTGATTGGTGCATTTTCATCCATCTTCGGAAATGCAGCAATCAGAACGCAGTATTCCAGCACGAAAACAAGCACTGTGTGCCGTTGACTTTAAGCAGTATTTTCTGCTGAACGCGGACATTGGCTGAGTTCAGAAGAACAAAATGATCAGTGAGCGCTTAGTGATTCTCGCTCCTGATTGGTAAATAGTTCTGGGTCTATGAAGAATCTAAAAGAATGCTCCAATCACAGACAATAATCACTAAGCGTTCACTGATCACTTTGTTCTGCTGAACGCAGCCATTAGCTGCATTCAGCAGACTCAACAGTTGGACAACATTACTAGATTTACCACTGAATCTCGCTCCTGATTGGTAAATACTTCTGGGTCTATGAAGAATCTAAAAGAATACTCCAATCACAGACAATAATCACTAAACGCTCTCTGATCACTTTGTTCTACTGAACGCGACCATTGTGTTTTTATTGGCACGCAAAGGCTGCGTTCCGATGTTCACTGCCAGTACTGAAATTCTATAACATATGTGACACAAACTATATATTTTCAGTACTGGCAGTGAATTTCAGAACTCAGCCAAAGTTTATTTTCTACGCATGCGCAAGTTTTACCTTACCGGTGTTCCACGACTACCCTTCTTATTTCTGTGCGATATTGTTAGAAATCATTTCGATTTGATTCGTCAGATTGGTAGGAAGCTTTGTTTGGTCAAGCTTGGATGAACGTGTAAGTTTTAACGGTCGTGAGACAAAGAGATAGATACGAATACGTAATATTTCAATTTATTTCATTTAAAGAAAATCTTACAAATAATCAGCCAAGATGTTCTGGGGTAAGCGAAATACAATTTTATACTTAATAGATTTGTAAATATTGGTCAAATAAAAGTTTTCCGTTGTAACACTGTCCCGAGACAGCATTGCCATGTGTTCGCAGAAAATGTGTACTTAAAAAGAAAATCTATACTTAATTAAAAAGAAGCTCGTAAGATTATTCGATGTAATTATTATGTTTAATTTTTTTATAGGTTTGATAATGGAACCGAACAAACGGTATTCACAAACCGTCGAGAATTCGTTCCACGTGTCGATGGCAAGTTTAGATCTTACAACTGCCAGTAAGTAAAACATTTTTATATCCTCAAAATCACAATTTTCTTGACTAAAAAAATAGTATTTTCTATCGTTCGGTATGTGTTTTCATAAATTAATTTATGCATACTCATGATGCAATATATTAGTGTACAATTTCGGAAATATGTGATAAGTTTTGTGATAAGTAATATACAATACACAAAAAAAATTTTATGTTAACATCAAACAAAATTACATTAACCTTCAAATATCAAGGTTAAAATTTTTCACATTTATGATAGTAAATTCATATATTCTGAGAGAATAAGTATGTAGTAACTGTTTATTATGTTCAACATTCATTATTAGAATTTTTGTGTTACTTTTGATAAGTAATATGATTAAAGAAATTCAGAAATTATAGGTGGTACTAATAATTGAATTAATTTACAAATATGCAGTAAATAATATATAAATATTATAATGATAGTACTATAAGATTATTAATTACAGTATAACAGAGAACATATAAAAAGTTTATTAGTACAATTGATATTTAATCTATAATTGATTTTTTATTATAATTATAATTGAGATATATTTGTATCGGAATCTATGTGATATATAAGATAATATTAATTTGATATTTAATATAATATATCTTACTATGATGTGATATGTTGTTGCTTAATATGTTATATCTTTTCATAGATGATGTAAAAGTGCAAGTAATACTGTGTTATGGTGATAGAAACTATCTACTATGTACTTTACATAAGGGTTCCGCATGGCAAGTACCACTTGATTTAAATTTCCAAGGAGGAACCCAGATAGCATTTACATGCAACGGTAATAGTCGTGTTCATCTGACTGGGTATTTGATTATGGAAGATATAGAAGATTTTGACAAATGCTTGAATGAAGATATGCAGATTGAGGGAAAAGAAATGAATAAAAAAATCTCAAAAAGAAAAGCTGTAGAGTCACCAAAAGAAAACAAAGAATCAAAGCGTCTTAAACAGCAGGAGAATATAGAGTTACCCGATAAAGATGATGATTTTGCATATATTGGAGATAGAAACATTGGGAGTGATTCTGAAGATTCTGAGGATGATGATCTAGAAGATGATGATGATAGTGATGAAGATGAGAATGACTCATTTGATGATACTGATGATTCTGACGATATTAATGAAAGCGAGGAAAGTGATGAGAGTGATGAGAGTGATGAGAGTGATGAGAGCGATGAGGAAAAGAAACATAAGAAATCAACAAAAACTCAACCTGAACAGTATGACAGAAAAAAAAAACGAACCCAAGAACAACAATTACTGCAATCAAAAAAGCAAGATAAGCAAAAATTAATAAACGGGAAAGAGATTAAACAAGGACAAAGTAAAGAACAGAAAAAAAATAAGGGAAAAGAAAAAAAGCAAGAGAAACAGGCACAATCAAATAATGAGAATACTCGAAATGGAATGAAAAAGCGAGTCGAAGGTGGTGTGATAGTGGAGGACAAGAAAATTGGTAATGGTCCTGTGGTACAAATTGGAAAAACTATTTCTGTTTATAGTGTCGGTCGTTTAAAGAGTGGGAAGAAGTTTAGTTCAACGTTAAGTGGAGAAGGCATAACATTTAGATTTGGTAAAGGAGAAGTGATCAAGGGTTGGGATGTAGGACTTGCTGGAATGAAAGTTGGTGGAATGCGCCGTATTACAGTACCACCCCACATGGCGTATGTATATATTATTTATTGGATTTTGCACTTTCTAGTTAAATCAATGTTCGTATTATCATTAATTTCTATGGGCTGCTCTTCATTGTAATTTGAATAGAAGACTTGTTCCATTACTTATTCTGAACATGCATAACTTTAAACAATGAATCTATTTACAGGTATTGTGCACGTGATACTCCTGAGGTCCCTCGTAACAGTACACTCATATATGATATAGAACTTAGGAAGATCCATTAAATTTTTACATTCAAGTATTTGTCGAAATATTAGGTTAAGTATCCCCATGTAGGTCCATACACCGTTACTTTTGTCTTAAAAATATCTAATTTTTTTACTGTATTGCATTTCAGACAAGTCTTATTTTATACTTGATAAATATTATATTACATTATTATACAAATAAAGAAAAAACATGATGCAACAGGAAATCTCTATTTATAATATTTTATATATCTTATATATTAAATATTCATATTTAATATATTATTACTTTTTTTTAAATATATATTTATAAAATAAGTGTGATATATAAACTGATGAACATAATATAAATTAAATATATCCATATTTTGCTATATATTATGTATAATAGAGACTCCTGTGAAGTTAAATTTAACATAACAAGATAAAACAAGTTATAAATAAATGATTGAATAAGAAATTTATCCCATTATAATTTATTCCCTTAGGATTTATATTATTCTAAGAATAAATCATTAAAACTTGCTATACAATAGCCTTAGATATTAATTTAAGGAAGAAACTTTTCAGACAAAAATTGGATGATTTTATAGAGTTATATTTTTCTCACTTCATTTTTTTTCTCTATATACACATGCACAAAAGGAAAATTTGGATATTAAATAATCACTTGAACTCCTCAGAGTCTTATATAATACAATCAAATATAAACATTAATCTAAATTGATTACACAAATCCATGTTCCAGTGGAAAAGAAGATTCAATTGTCTTTTTTTACAGCATCTTGATTATCTTTCCAGGACAATGTACATGTCCCATTTTTACATTCTTTCACTAAATCTGGGCAGGGTTCACCATTCTTAACTTCTTTTTCTTGACTCCTTAATCGCCACAATTTAACCAATATTGGTTGTAGCAAGAATCTCCATATTATCAGAAGTATAGGGATAGCAAAGCATGGAACACAGACCATTTTGCACCTGAATTATACTTTATGATCTAAAATTGCAGAAACAATTTATACTGGAAAGTATAAAGTAACATATTCCCTTTAAAATAATTATATTTACACATAATTATAAATACCGATTTTAATGTTAGTCAATTGTTTTATTTCTTATCTATATGTGCTATAAAATATCTTACCTCGAGGATGAATAAAAACAAGGACTATCAGGTTTTCACAGGATAATAATCAAAATACGAGAATTGATGCGAGCATAACTTTGGCAGTCAATAAATATGAAAAAAACTTAATGAGACGTGTTGTGTGTTATCAAAATATAAAAATTGCCACGAGTACAAGTTCAAATATTAAATATTTGATGCTAAACGACCAGCTAACGTTGCGTCTTCAAATTACGTCAATTTGCGTCTTGTGATGACACTCCATTATATTTCTCGCATCGATATCAGAATATAGAGATAAGGTTTGTTCTTTTTAACTATACTGGAACTACACTGGAGCGAAGGTAGACATTAAGGCTCGTCTACATTAGCTGTAAGAGTAAGGTTGCAAGGCACGAAATGAAATATTTTCATTCGCTGACAGCTTACGTTACAGCCTTACTCTTACAGCTATTGTAGACGAGCCTTTAGACCCGTTATTTTTGAGGGCATAAAGCCAGCGGCACACGATGCTTGTTTTCGTGCTGGATTGCTTACTGGATGAAAATACTGCGTTTTGATTGGTGCATTTCCATCCATCTTCGGAAATATACCAATCAGAACGCAGTATTTTCATCCAGCAAGCAATCCAGCACGAAAACAAGCACCGTGTACCGCTGGCTTTAGCTTCAAGTAGCCTTCATCGAATTCTTTCAAAAATATCGAGAAAACGATCGATCCTGTCGTTGGAAGGAAGCATCGAATATCGATAAAACTTATCAATAAAAGATCGTCCAATTGTACAACGTTACACTATTAGTCTGTTCTTTTTAGCTGTACTGCGGAACTAATGCAATAAGTTAGAATGAGACAATATATTTTTTCTCACTTTAACTTATTGCACCAGTTCAGTAGTACAGCTAAAAAGAACAGACCACATGATGCAATTTGGACAAACGGACCATGCGCTGTAAAAAGATTGAAGCCATCGAACATGTACAGATGTCAACATCATCTAATACTGTTGTTAACCTATGTATTCGTTGTTTAAATTTCCAAGTATCCTGGCGTCCAGTCACATCAACAGCCAGCGACAATGTCTTCTACCGGTGAATATTGTTACCTTGCGACAAATTCGCGATTCTTTGCGGTGATTCTATACGTGTTATCATATAGAACAACACTTGCCGGCGTCTAATTATTGACTGATGTAACAATTGACAGTTTGATAAAATAATATCGTTACGAATTTTCTCACTAATATGTGGCTTGTGTTGTTTATTATCGTTGATATGACAATGGCATAATTGACGATAGAAGACAAATCAAGTAGAACTCGTGTATGTCTTTCTCTTTCCAAAAACATAGTAATATTAAGTAGATGTATTAAGTACTACAAGCGTCCACCATTCACGCTTATTGAACTCTATTGGACTCGTAGATGTGTATACCTTCAAGGTTCTTATTTTCGAAAATTCGTGAAAAATATCGTATACGATATTTCATCAATGGGGCAATTTAATTGACTGAGAATCATGATATCTAGTGACATTCATGAAATATCGTATGCGACGTTTTTCAAGAATACGAACCTTGATTTGATTAAAATCCAAAAGTGAACTGATGAATTCGGAGATACTTGAACGCTTAATGAGAGATATTAGTATAGTTATAAATTTTTCGTCTTCTTTTCCTTACTTGTGAAAAATAAAGATCCTTTGAATCTGAGAATATTTGAAAGTTTTTTGAAAGTTTTTATGAGTTCACGCGAGATTTTCATCAATCAATTTCCAAGATCAATTTTTGAGAGCCAATTTCATCACATATTCCACTAACTAAATTGACGAGTTGTCAGTTGTGATTGATCGATGGTGGTAAATTCTGTTTAAAGATAAATGCAATTGGTTAACTGCAACGAAATAATTACTTGATTGAAGAAATTAGTCTTCTCGTGACATTCGCTTAGTGATGAACGTAGATGGCGTCTCACACTGTTCAACAAATGTTCAAAATAACGGTCATGCATAGCGGGAAAATTTTGGCGGTAAATACCCACGCCAGTCATATGTTATCTGTGATATCTGAAGTAATATTATCTTTCCTCAATATAAAACGCTTGATTCTTGTGTGTGAGGAGTATAGTTACGATTGTTCGTGCGACAACGTCGATATTATTTCTCGAGTTTAAATTAGAATAGAGTTGAGTCTCAACGCAGCGGTCGATTATATTTACAGGCGAGTAAAAAACAAACCTTATATTGTGATTATCGTATTTAATAAGAGATTGAAACATGATATTTGTATAGAATATTTAGTTTATTTGATCAAGCAGCTAGGAAAACGATATCCTTGTACTTTATTGTATCTATAATGTTATATTTATAGCTATTCTTATAGCTTGGATTTTGTTGTATCTGTAGTTTTTAATAGTAATCTTTATCACTTGACCATGTCGGCTGAAAACATTATTAAGTTATATTATCATTTTGATTATTTAAAATATGGAAAAAATATTGAGAGTTATTTTATTACCGTTTTACTTATATGCAAAAGAACACTTAAAAGTTTCTTGTTCTTTGATTGTGAAAAAAAGATTATAATATTCGATAATTTTTTGTGTCAGTATTGTAATTTTTATTAAACCAAGTGAATTATAACATATCTTCAGTATTAACTAGTAACGTTTATATTGTATCCTTCAGGCAAGGCAGCTCTCAAAGCTTTGATAAAAATGTCTAGATCAACTGATAAGTTGTACAAGCGTCCCTTCACAGTATGCATCGAGGGCAATATAGGAAGTGGTAAAACAACATTTCTAAGTTATTTTAAGAAATTTGACAATGTTACTGTGTTGGAAGAACCAGTTGAACTCTGGCGCGATGTATCTGGAACAAATCTTTTGGTATGTGAGTCAGAAAACATATTTTTATTTATTATTTATTATTAGTTATATTATTTAAGAATACTTATTTAACATGCTGATAAAGACGGATACTTGTTAGTATGAAAAAATTGGTGAATTCTGGTAAAACTATAGGCATGTTTTAAGAAGCTTTGAGATACTTTGTTGGTTTGGTTTAATAATGTGTATATCTGTGTATATATGCATAGGTATTTAATAATGAGGAAAGTAGCAAGAGATATAATAAATTTCAGGAATTAATGTATAAAGATCCAACTCGCTATGCTTACTTATTCCAATCATATGTACAATTGACCATGCTTCAATTACATACTTGTATGACACCTTCGCCGTTCAAAATTATGGAGAGGTCTGTTTATAGTGCGATGTGTTTTGTTGAGAATCTGAAACGTAATAATCTGCTGAGCAATACTGAAGTCTCTATCTTAGAAGAATGGTACAATTGGAGCATGAAGAGTGCGAAAATAGAAACTGACTTGATAGGTAAATATCATTTTATATGATGGGAAATATTTCAAATTAGAAGATATTTGAAAATATATTTTTAATGTACACACGATATTCATGTTTCTTCTTTTTCCTAGTATATTTGAAAACAACACCAGAGATTGTATATGAAAGAATGAAGAAGCGAGGACGGAAAGAAGAAAACACAGTATCATTAGAATATCTAAAGCAAATTCATCAACTTCACGATGAGTGGTTGTATCATCAGACACTGAAGCCAGTGCCAGCACCGATCATAACCATAAACGGTGACCGAGAACTCCACGAAATGGTAGAAGAATTTGAGAAGTGTAAAAATCAGATTTTCAATAGAATAGTAAATGATAATGATGCGAGTAATATGATGATCACAACAGTACCAACAAATTGCATAATACCTGAAATTAAAGCTGGAATGTCAGACTAAAATGCAAACAGAAAGATAGATTCGCCAGAAAGCAAAATATAATTTACATACAAATGCGATACAGATGAAAATTCAGTAAATATTTTATATGATATATATGTGCACTTAATTATTATACAAAATTTTAAATGTTTAATATTTGGTTGTGCTTGATTACATTTCTCATTGTTGCATCACTGTTGTTCCTTATGTTAAATTCATATAATAATATATTACTCCCTTGATTAAATTATTTAAATGTGAAAAGAAAAGAGTTTGACAATTGACAATTGGATATATAAAAGAAGTTTAGGATTTATTAAAATGTAATCATAAATAACTAGTACCGTTGTTTTGAAAATTACAATTCTATCAATGTCAATATTAATATGCATTTAAAAATCATTTCCACTAAATGTAGTTTTTCTTTTAATAATGACAAGTACAAAGTAATATTAGTATTAGCTATTTTTGCATATTATCAATTCGGAGAAATTACGTGAATTAAGAATAAGAGAAAACGATAAATTATCTAATGCGGAAAATTAATGCGATTCTGTAAAGAACAGAAACATCGTTAAAATACTATATGTAACTAGACATCTTTTATCATTTGTAATCTCTTTTGTTTGTGAAACTTGAAGAGAAATATATATATTTATATGTAATTAATATAATATATATATATATATATATATATATATATGATGTATGTGTATATATACACACATATATATATACACACATATATATACACATACACATAGTATATACATACAATATTATGTAAAATGTATTTAATCGTTTGAATTTTGAACAATATTGAATGCGAATGTATGTTTATATGTCAGGATACATAAGCTCGTCTTATATCACCCTGAAATAAATAAATTATCTAATTTTCCGAGAATCGCAATATATATTATTCAATATACTTTATTCTAGACTTTACAGCATAGGTTATATGGATAAGTAACAAAACATGCGTATGTATGTGCATATAAATAATAGTTATTACGTATGCGTGGGCACCGTATTATGTCCGAATATTATTAATCAGATCATGTTCCCGTCCGAACCGCCGGGAATTCCTCATTGTAATTCTGTACAATCCCAAAACGGACGACGAAGGTCGAATGCGCGTGTCCACACGGTAAACTTCTTCGATCGCTTCGGAACGATAAACGACGAATATAAAAACGATCTTCGCGCGATATGTACTTGTGGCAGACGTTCATACGTGCGTATGAGCCGTGTGCGCGCCGGAGTATATACGATTTATATAAAAATGTAATTGGAATGCTACTTCGAGTAGAAAAAAAAAATAAATCGCGAACAATCGCGCACGTATGTACAAGCGTTCATCAGATAGGCGACGCAGAGTAGAATTTCCAAGTCGCAACTAAGAGGGAGTCTTGCGAGCCGCGGCTAGCCGCTCGACGCAGTCGTACTCTTGACAAGACCACAATGCACTGACTAGTGTTCCCAGCCGGGCGTCTCGCGTGTTCGCTTGTTTCCAATCGAGCAACAACTGATATATCACCTGAAATCATCGTATACAGATGAGAAACGACGTTATTTGGCGTGATTCACCGAAATGACCAAGATACATTTCGGGGATTCACAGTTTGCAAGCGGGAGATATTCGAACAATGTACTTGTCAATTTTAGAGAAAAGCCGATTTCGACTAGAGTTTTAATTTTACTTCGTTTCATTATCAAGTTAAATGTTTTACTATTTTATTCTGTTGAGGTGAAATTTCTCATTTCTGTTAACATTTTCTCAAAATATTCGTTTGATAGATTATTCGGAATCGGAATCGGAATATCTGCTTTCGAAAACGCGAAGTTCGATGTTCACCTCGTCGACGCCTTTGTGCCTGAAATTCTCCTCGAACTGTTCGATCTGGCCGTCCGAGTACGACAGCCTCCTCGCGACGTCCCTCCAGCCGTGGCCGACGTGTGTCTTGACGGTGATCATGTCGTCGAACGTGAGCTCTTCGTCGCACGCGCTCAACTCCTCCACGTTTTGCGGCATCGACCGGTGCTTCGGCTTCGACCAGGAAGCTTCGGGTTGTGCTGTCGCGTTATTGTTTGTCGCATAATTCACGTTGCATATGTAGCTCGTCCGCGAGCCGATCTTCACCCCGTTCGAATTGACGATGTTGTAATTCACTACGTTCATGCCTTGCGCTGCAAATAGATTTTTGACGAATTTGAAAAGATTAAAAACGACAAAAAAAAATCAACATTATTTGTTATAAATATTGCGCAACATTACTCATGCAGCTGGAAACGTAAACGTCTCTCGTGAGAAGGGGAAAGAAACGTTTCTTTTCCTTGTCGATGTAATTCCAAAATAGTGCGCACAATGAGGATAAAATAACAAGCTTTGTAGATAAAAGTTATATAGGGCGCCGCGAGAAATAGTCAAGCGTTGAGACATTCACGATAACATTTACAGTCAGTCGAGAAAATTACATGTCGCACTGTTTTCAAGTATTATCAGTGTCCTTCCTGAGGAAGTAGCCTTGCAACTGTGCGTGTATATTTGTCGAATTGCACTTTGCTTCTGCGAACTCCTCTCTTGCAAGCCGAAAAAAAATCTCGATATAAATGAGCGACGAACGTCTAATTGAAAGCAATTACGATGATAAGACCTATTTCTAGTCATCTCGAGTTTTCACCAGGAATTAATTTCCTGACATTAACGTTCATAATTCCTTCCGTCTTTGTTGTTTTGAATTCATATCTCTGTTAATAGGCGTTACTTAAAATTAGTCTCGAGTGAGATACTCGGATTTTAATTTAGAATTAGACACGTTTCTCAGTTGAATTATAATTTGAAATGTAATTATACCACATGTATGATCCTGATAAACTCAAATTCAATTCTAAACTTTACATTTACAAAAAATCTCTCTCTCTCTCTTGAGTTTTAATTATAATAAGAGAAATAAAATAAAAAGTCAAAATTTCAAATCCTGATATCTCACGCGCGAAAGAAACGTCTCAAGCAACAATTATTAACATGAGCTCGGAAATATTTTGTACCGATAATTGTACTTTCATTCAGACTTCTCGCTGTCATTATATCGTACGTAGTTTCCACGCTCGATGCAACCGCGACGATATCTTTGTTTTACTTACAATATTTAGCGTGTTTCACTCTCGTCCGCGTCCTTGGTCGTTTGTACTGTTTCGACTCGTTCGTTGGCTCGTCCGTGTGGCCGAGGTCTTCCGCTTTCGCGGCGAAATCTCTCGTGGGCGTCGCGTCGTTCGGCACCGATTTTTGCCGTCGTACCGACGCTGTCACGTCGACACCGTCGTCGTCGACGTCGACGTCGGTGTCGGCGTCAACCTTGTCGGTTCTGTGTGCGTGCAATTCCTCCGGCGTGGTGGGTGTCGATCTCGATCGCGGTTTCTTCGTCGTGTCCTCCGTCGGCGGCAGGTTGTGCGTGTAACCAGGGATGCCGGTGCGCGGTGGATCCGGCTTCGCGTCTGTCGTTAACATGTGAAATCGGCGCGACAGCTCCGAGAGGATCGGCATTTTCTTAAACACTCGCCGCGCCTGGAAATGATATGTCCTTATATCAAAGGAATCGTGTTAGATGTATTCGACACTCGTCACCACGTCGTTCTATTGTTTCTCAGATGAAAATAGATTGCTACAATTGCGGAAGACTGTTTTTCTAGAGGCAAACTCGAACGTTAGAAAGAATTGGCGAAAAAGAACCTCGCCACGCTTGTCAGTGCACGATAATTACATATCGTGTAAAATAAGTATTTACCGTGAATAATCTTTATTTGACATAAATTTCACTTGGCTCCTTATGTAGTTATGACGTTATTATTTTTAAAACATTGATGTTTTTATATTTTGCTGAAGAGAAGCACTTCAGTGTTTGGTTATTGACAAATGATTGCTTAATTATATAATGCCGATAATTACGGCAAGGCTCATGTTTGCAATTTCTTTTTAACGTGAGAGAAAACAAGTTGGATGAGAGCGTAAGCTCGAAAATACTCGAAATTGTCCAACGAGATCCCGCCGTCTCGTATTTTTGTGCATCATCATCATTCTTCTTTTACCTGCGGTATAGATGACGTACTTTCGGGCTTACACTTTACATTAATTTTGCTGCGCACTGTTGCATAATGCCCGCGACTAACGTCAAAGCAGACACTCCTTTCATTGTTTCTCCTCGTTATGCAGCCGATAAGCGGTAGCGATATTTTTTCTCAGAGATGTTGCATTTTGATTAGTAAGCATGCAGCTCTCGTGACTCTAATCGTCTATTCTATGCTTCTCTGCTTCCGGCACGACCGTCGGATGTATACGTGTGTATTTTCGCATGCATGGTATTATTTAAACAAGTGGATCGTTTCGCAAAAATAGATGAACAATATAGATTTCAGTTGTTATCGCAGCACTGTACAGACTTATTTTGTCTAGAGCGTCCGGGAAATCACGAGAGAAGAAGGGGAGGACAAAGAAGAAAGGAAACTCCAAGTGTTCGAAGTGCTAACATTTGTTAGGTCGTAATTAGTGTGGCAAGTTTGCCAGAATCGTAATTGCCAGCCAATGATTAATTCTATACCTTCTCTATATATTCTTTTTTAATTTCTTTCCTCTAATCTCTTAATTTTCCCTAGTTCCATAATGTGAATTAAATTCAAGTTCTAATTTAAATCTAATTTAATTTAATTTAATTTAAATTCTTCTAATTGCACAGCACTACGCGGAGTACACACAGTGAAATTTGCCACGCCTAAGAGATTCGCTTCTTCAAAGTTCACGCGCTGCTAAATCAAATGAGATAAATGATCTCTCTGATATCCCTGCATCCTGTCATCTCTACGAGCAATTTTCCCGAGATGGTTTCTACAAGAAGAAAACACGCCATGTTAGTCGCATATTGGAAATCCCGATATCTCATATTTGTCGTTCATTTTTCATATCGGAGAACACGTGAGTGTACACGTCTATCCCGAGCGCGTTATCTTTTGTTGCGATTATCGCGCTTTTCAATTTTACTGTCTCGTCGTTTCAGGTTGAATACAGTGGCGATGTTTCCATTTCTCTCTTTTTCTCTTTGTTTCACGGCAAGAGGGACAAGAAAATTCGCTGGAAATTCCTATTGTCAACTCCGTTGAGCGACACTGCCTTCCTTCGCGTTTCTGGTAAGGATAAAAATATGCGCTCTCAAGATTACGTTGACCCGCGACGAGCGACGACGCCGACGACGACGTACTCGTTTCGCTGGTTCGTTGTGTCAATATTTAACGTGACACGCGAGCACATGTATGTTATCGGACAATACGCATCTCCTGTTCACCCTGGCATGCAATCAACGCGATCCCATGGATTGCCATAGTCGGATTTTCAACTTGCAAATTTATCAAAAATCGGATCGAAAGTCCTTTCGGAGCGCCTTGCACACACACACACACACACACACACATATATACATGTCTGTGCCGGTTGGAGCGCATAATTAAATCTCCGTGCAGTTACGACTCTGTTGACGTGCAAACCAATAATTTCCCGGAATCGCATTGTCTGCACCGATAACGCGATTCCACGTATGCCTGTTAAAGACGACAATATATTTTTAAGCACGCGTGTCGCGTAATATGGCCGTGTATGCGCGCGCGCGCGCGCGTGTGTGTGTGTGTGTGTGCATCTGTGTAATTCATTGTTTCGCTTCGCCCGTCGATCCGGATGTTTCGGCCGGTGCCGTGATAACGCCGTGATAATACCAATAAACTTCACGTTCTCATGTGTCTGTAGAGAATTCCGTCGCGATGAGAAAGCTTACACCACGATGAGACTCGAGTGATTTTAATTAGTCACCAAGAGACGAAAGTCTCGGCTCGCTTTTAATTCTCAGCTCGACCATCATCGCACGCTTTTTCTGCTTTAGCATCTGTGGCATTTTCCGCAACGTAAAAGAAGAGAGTTTCGATCGGCGGGGAGAAGCGGCGTGCCGCTTCTCATCAATTTGCCACCCTCATTCGACGTACTATTTGTTGCGTCTAATCGTAGCTCATTATCTACTCAGCCGTGATCCATGAAGTTTCGTTGTCGCTATGATAAACAGGAAAATGCACAGCGGCGTGACTTCGTGCATACTCGACAGCGAGCGACAGAGAGAGAGAGAAAGAGAGAGAGAGAGAGAGAGAGAGAGAGAGAGAGGCGGGGGGGAGGAGAAAGAAACTTGAGAAAAAAGCCTCGTTCATGCGCGCGTCAATACATTTCTTTTGTATTTCCTCGGAACTCGTGCATTATCGCACGGACGTATGCAATCGACGAGTGTAACGACCTGCGTGTATCTGCTATGCCGGCTATGCGTGAGTCACAAGCTTCGCTTAAGTTGAACGTCACATTCGTCAAGGGACGACCGCTGCCCTATGCGACACACTTTCCTTCGCAATTCACGTCGCAATCGCTGCTGAGAAACTACAAAGAGGCATGGCACCCTGCTGGCTGGGTTCAACGTACAATGGCCCGTTCAGAAAACACAACGGTTGAGTAATTCGTCGTTATTGGTCTGAACGTAAGGATCTAATAGTAAAGACCAATAGTTACTCTCGGTGAGCGCTTTGTTCTCTGAACGTAATCATTGTTAGTCCTCAGTATACCACCAAGGTTTATGATTTCACAGCTGGAGATTCTCAAAGATCGTTTTCGTGCAGCCGTCATTATTACGGCAGCAAATGTCTTTCGGAATGTCTTTTGTCGAAAATTACGCTGCAGTTTCCAGCTTAGAGCTTAAAAAGCGCTACTTTCATTGTGGATCAGGTCTTTCGTTAGAGATCTTTCACGGAGCAAAGATAACATTTTTTTGTGCGCTTATTTCCGTTTATTTGATAGAATATTTATTTTATAATCTAATTCATACCATGATGACGGAGTACTGAGAATTAATGATTCCTGCGTCATCATTTGTATCGTTTAAATTCAGCTCGATCTCCTTCTTCTACTGTTAATCCCCGGTTTCGGGCCAATGCGAGAATGCCACACCCTGCATCGCACATCAGTAACCTTCTTGATTCGACATCGCCGCTGTGTCGCCTATGGAATAATATTTGTACACCGGCGTCTCTCCCGTTGTCGCATCAAAACGCTGCAGTATTGTCGTCACCGCGTCGGCCGCGATAATGTGGGCAATTAAAAAGATTAACCATAAATTTCGACAGTGCGATATTATCCTTCGAAAATATCGTTCCAATAAGAAAAGACTCTTCGGGACGCGGCGTGCTTGTTCTCTCGGTCTGTTTGTCCTCGCGGCCGATCGTCCTCGTCGGACGCTCGTAAATTTGCGATCGTTTAGTTTTAAGCAAATTCCTAGCGAGAAATCGATCGCACTTTGCGGCAATCTCGCAGATAAGCCAAACGCGAACGTTGCGCAATTAATTAATTTATATGCGTTGTGAAATTCTTCTTTTTCTCTCGTCAGGCGTTCGACCGTAACGATATACGTAAAGAATACGCAAAGAAGATTATTCACCGCGGGAAAACATGATGTATATCGCATCGACAGCCGCGTTTAACGAAAAACGTTGTTTGAATAATTGGGCCAAGGTGTATTTGCGCGGGACACTCGCGACTAACCGCACGAAGAAAAATGTTCTTTACCATTAACAAATAGAAAAAGCGATTATTCAATTTCTTGTCTTTTTTAAGTAACAATTATCTTCAACAAAGAATATTTTCTTGAACAGTCTTAAAATACACTCGTGACATATTTCAGAATGACTCGTCATTATGTGAAAGAAAAATTTATCCTCCTTTCAAAAATATTAGAAAACATTCTCTCTCTCTCTCTCTCTCTCTAAGTGGGAGAAGTAACCTGGACTTTTAATTTGACATTCCTGTGTTTTGATTTAACAATCTCGATTGAAATACTAAGTCTGCTAAGACCCAGAATGTATCTTGAGTAACTTTGCTGTTTATGATAAACCCATGACAGACTTGCCGCATACACAGCTCATGAAATACTTGAAGCAAGCAACATTTACTTCAATGCAACATATATCTTTTTATTTGTTGCATACCGACGGCGTCTCGCGACGGTTGTTGATTACCGCGAATTGCGAATTCAATACTCAGGCAGTGCTCAGTATATCCTGACGACACGCTACAGCATTCGCATTAGAGGATCTGCGAGCGAGTATACGTAATAGCACGCGGTCGAGCTCAGATTATCCGAGCTCCCGACCCGCTGCACGCTCTTCGTAATGACCATAATTATGCAGTTGCGATGGATAGCTGCCCCGAAACGCGCTTTTTCCCGGTCTCCGTATAGACGAGGAGAGAAGCCACGTCTCATCCCGCGTTCGCAACCGCTCGAACGTTATCTCGCCGGCGAACATGTGTTCCACTACGTCGATGTGTTTTTTCCGTAGATTCCTCGAGCGAGTATAATCAGATCGATCGAAATTCCGCGAGGATGACACGAGGAGCACGGCCGTTTAGACCCCGTTTTTATCTGATTTGCGCTCACATCCCGCGCTGTTGCATAATTACCATAAGCTCGATTATGACTCATGTTCTGTTTTTACCAGCTATTTCAGAAACAGATCCTTTGCGTTTCGCAGCGCGAATCGGAAACTTCGTCGAGTCATCGGCGAATATCGTGTGCTGCACGGTTCAGTAACAACCGCATGCTATCATGCGCCCTCTCTCTCTCTCTCTCTCTCTCTCTCTCTCTCTCTCTCTCTCCCACTGCTGTCAGGCGCCGAGGCGCCTGACGTATGTGCGTACACAAGGACCTCGCGATCTGGGTTTTCCAGCGGCAAAACCAGTTCCTGACGCTCGCGCGCGGCCGATGCTAATGAGTTTGATAGCGAGCGCGTCGTTGGCAGACACGTAGAATGCAGGACAAAGCGGCTCGCCAAAAACAATTTTCTGAAAATCGCGAATGCCGTCCTGCGCGTCGAACAGCGCCGAGTTCGCGATTAAATTCGAATCGATCATGCGAATCACTTGACATCAGGATAGCGATCGTGAAATTTTTCTCCCGAGAGCGCAAACGTGAAAAGCGGGAAGTTTCACGTAAATTCGCCGGTCGTAGCCTGTTTTTAAAAAGCTACACCACTGTCGCACTTCGGAGCTTCATTGATTCTCCCTTCAACCTCCGGTTATATATCTGTTTTTCCTTTAAACAAAAAAAAGAAAAGAAAAGAACGAGAAGTGCAGCCCGATTCTGTTGAAAAGAACATATACTTGTCGACTGCTGTTGACGTCTGTCAGCGCGGTGAAATCGCGATTCGATTCGCTGGATAGCGTGCGAACAAATTTACCATCGACACACGATGTTTGTACGATAGCGGCTTCATATTGTAGTCCTTTAATACAGTGATTGCAAATTGTCCAGATACACTAAGCAGATATCGTAAAATATTTCAGATAAAGAGAGATTAACCGGATCGATTGACCGCCGAAATCGAGGGAGCGGAGTCTGATTTCCGCCGGTCTGCGATTCCGATCTCCGATTGACTCGCAATCCGACCCGGTATAAACGCAATGACAGATGTGCCGCTTATCTCAATTCAATGATCCATTATCTGCGCACAGATAAATCAACCCTGTTAACCAGCGTGAGGTAGGACACGAACTCGAACACGCTTCGTGAAATATCGGCAGGTGGATTGCGATTTCGCCAAGACTCACGTCGCGATGTCGGATCACCTGTGATAAGCACGGATGCAACTCGCGATGAATTTTTCCTTGGCGATTAAATCCGCTGATTCTGATAATTCAGTGTCGATCGACGAGATCAGACGAGTCTGTGCCGATACGACGCGAATTTAATCGTGGCTTATGAATTTTTTGCGGCAGGTCCACGGCGAACCTGTGTCTGTGTTGGTGACGGTTGGTGACGAAGACGCACGTCGACTGAGAAAAACGCATCGATAGACCGTTGCATTTCCGTTTGCATGCGTAATCGAGGCAGGAAGTCGCCGAATAAGTAGGTGTGAATCGCCTCGAGAGATTGAATATGGATTTCCAGCTGGGAGATTTCCCGAGTGGACGATCGATGACTGTCTGTGTTGCAACGTCATTAATAGTGACCAACGGTATAATTTACCTTGTGCCTTGAATGATCGAAATAGTTTCAACGACGAGATGCTTCGTCGGTTCAAGTTACTTAACATTCTAGATTCGATGCAACAAGAGAAACATCGATTCTTGCGCGAGAGATGTGTGTCACCCAGAGAGGAAACGACGAGGACGAAAGTCGTCGACGGGGACTGACTCAGGACTATCGCGGTTCCTCTTCGCGGTATGGCTGAACTTTGGAATTCTCACCGAATGTTTTTTACTTTTCCGCCGATTGACGCTGCACCGTTCGACGCTTGACCAACATAGGAAATACGTGCCGAAGAAAAACGCTTAACGCGATAACTTATGAGTCAGCGCCAACTTCGAGGATAATTGTCTTTCTGCTCACAGATTATCCCCAATCAAGAGACAATGAACGCGGGTGGTACTCCTTTGCCAGGCACTCTCCGAAGAGACGTCTGACTTCTGTCTAGTGAGAAGCGCGCGAGCGACGCGCGAGAGATGTGACGTATCGGCGAAGAAGAAATCAGTTCAGTTCAGTTCAATATATGGCTCCGGACTGCATTCAGCTTTGTCCATACGCCATTTTCCGCTAGTATGAAAGTAAAAGAAAAACAGGGACAACTGCGTACGCAGTCCCCACGATAAAAAAATATGCGTAGTTACAGGAACCACATCCAACCGCCACGGAGGCGAACAAAAGACTCTTTAGGCGAAGAAGGAAGAACGACCTCGAGAGAGAAACTTGCAAAGTTCAGAGCGCACGAACTTTTGGAAGATGCTTTTAAAATGATGATTAAAAATTTAAAGGTGATTAACGATTCTAATAGATGTCTAAAGTACGTTCTACAACACCTTTTTCAGACATCTTTTAAATGTTCTAGAAATTTCTGTTGTCTGAGAATGGATGCTCAGACACGGTCACGTCTTGCTTCGAGTAGTTGAGTAACGCTTATATTCATCAGTCGCTCGTGTGCTTCGCGATAAATGTGGAAGTCGTACATATGATAATGCGACGCCTTGCCCACGATGGCAATAATTCACGCGTAGCGGGCGATAATCTATGCGCAAGCATAAGTAACGTTCGCGGTCTTAGCTACAATAATAAGGTAAAAAAGTGAATCGAGAATCTCTTCTGGCTTATCCGAAACAGTCTATCTGCTATTGCCGAAATCGCCCCAGATATTGCGACATATCGCGAGTCAGTCGCGATTCATTATACGTTTTATATAAGCTTCCAAGTATATATTTTCTTCTTTATATACGAGATTAATGACGTCATTATGTAGCATCGGAGCGCTTCGAAACCCCGTAATGGATCTCACCCTCTCGTCGTCACGAAGACAGTTCCATGTTGGAATTTAAGCGACTGCTGCACGCGCATGTGACGTAAAGGAAGAAAGAAGACAGAAGAAAGAGAAGTGAGAACGTTCAGCGTTAAATCAAACATGCTTGTTGTTGACGAAGAAAGACGTGCGTCAATATGCGTAGATTGCGCGTTCACTTGCGAGTGCAAGTGAACGTGCGAGTAAAAGTCGCGTGACAGGAATACAATAGCAACTTGCAGTCGTGGTCGCATCGACCAAGCAGCTACGCTGTTCGATGTACACGCGCTTATTATTATCTCAAGGCAAATATAACACATCCGTGAATGTTTGCGCGCGAACTGTCACGACGTAGATTTCTGTGCGCGCGTGTCGCCTGAAAGACCGCATTCTTTCAACGACTGCATTTGTCCTCTCATCTTTTCTTAGATTAAATCTTATCTACAGTCGAATTTTAATTGTATTTTAATTCCAGGTAAGGTCCCACGTGTGAGAGAAGAACAATGAAGAAAGAAGAATCTGTGGAAATCGGTGGAATCCTCTCCAAGCAGTTGTACCTGCGAGATATCATTGGAAACATCCAAGAAACAGTCGGTCTTTGGATATCTTCCAGATGCGCCTTGGATCTCCACGTTGCTCGGGGCGATATGTTTACGAACGACGAAGATGCACATGGTTTCACAGTCAAGTCGCAAACTCACCTTGTCGTTGAAGAAGAATGAGCGTTCTCGCAGATCGGCGCTTCTCGTGGGTGCGATCATGGAATCGCTCGATGAAGATTGATATGATATTGCTGTTGAAGTCTGTCAATTGCGCGTATCAGCGTGCGGCACTTCGCGACACTACTTAACCCGCGCGTTGTTCACTAACGACTGAATGCTGAGCTCCGCCGCGCGATTCTGCGTGTTTCGCGCGAACCTCCCGACGAGACCGTCCGCGGAGGGAGACGTGCACTCGCTCGTTTTTTCTCACTTCTGTCTCTCCTTTTTTCAGTAAAACATGACGTGATTTCGGTACAAGCCTTTTTTTCTTCACGATGAACGCGTGGTGAATGTCCTACGAACATTAGTAACTGTGGGAAAGTGGAAAATTGGATCGTCTTGCTGAGATATCCATGAGAATTTCTGCGCGAGCGGACGCACGCCGCTCCTGAGGACCTCGACCTCGACTCATAGTTATCGAACGCTATCTTGCGAATGTTGAAAATTGTACGAAGGTGAGATCCCGTTAGTAATTCTTTGAATAAGGGAAATCAGTCTTTTGTCGGACTCCGAAGCCGTTGGGTGTGGTTTTGTCGTTACGCGTCATTTTTTGAATATCGGGGATTGCGTGCGCGTGGTCCCTATTTGTACCATATTTCTTTGTAATAATCTAATTCTTATTTTTATACTTTTCGTTAACCAAACAATGGCGTTAGGAAATTCGCCTTAACACACGCCTGGAGCCAATATATATAGAGAGAGAGAGAGAGAATAAGAGAAATCACACAGAAATCATGTTACTTGTGTTTATCTTTGCAGAATTATTGCGAGGGAAGGCAGCTCTGCAAGTGTGAACGGACGCGTACGTCACTGACGTTGTGATGTCGAATGGAACATGCGCGAAATGGAGCGACATGCGAGAACGGTTGCGGGAAAATATGGATTCGGAGATCTTCTTCGAAAAGTACACGTTGTCGGAAGAAACTGCAATGAGACTCAAGTCTATCAGAATAATGATGCAGGATAATATCGCCCAGGCTAATCCGGTGTGGAAGGTGATCGCAGGGGAGGTTAGATCACGTGAGCTTCTAGTACTGTGCTTGTGAACGAAATTCTCTGCATTGAAAGCGTTATATGAAGAAGTCAATATCAATATTTAAATCTGTAAATCTACTGAGAATGAAACAATGCCGAGAACAATTCTTGTTTTGTACTTTGAATTTGTTCTGTCATAAAGTTGTCTTGGATATATATACAATATATGTATGCAGATCATTCACCGCACAATCATGCATATACATTAATGTCCAATTTGCAAATTATTTAGAATGAAGAAAGAATATCTTCGGAAAGCGAAGACAGTGATAATGATGTTGATAATAAAGAAAGTGATACTGATGTCCAAATGCCATTTAGTCAGTCAATATTGGAACCATCTACTCAGTTTTATTTCACTCAAGCTGAACGAATTATGCCACCTGCTGCAGCTGCTGAAGGATCTGCAACTGCACCATTGCAGAAGTGTGACATATTGGAGTTTCTTTCCGAGGGCTTAGAAAAAAATGATGGGAAATTTGATTTTGCTCAATTGAACAACCTCTCCGATGAGGATCTTGTTCCTTTAATGGAAGATCTGGGTAAAAAATTAAGCTCAAAAGGCATTTATAATGTATGTCAGTCAATGAATGACATGTCTATCGAAGAGGGAATGAAGTATCTCAATATATTGTGCACACATTTGTTGTTACCAAAGGTAATCAGTAGTGTAATACTGATAATTGTGATTATATTATTTTTCCTACATAATGAATATGCCTCAAATTATGGTCACAGATCATTCAACTTGAAGAGCCATCTCGTTTACTATCATCCGCGATTGGTGAATGTATTAAAAAATTCCCCAATGAGGTTCAGCAGTTCATATTTGTTCCTATTCTCAATACTGAATTAAAGGACACAACATTGATCTCTACTATTGTGAATACATTTGAACCAGGGAAGAGAGCAGTGCTGTTTGAGTATGTTTCACAATTGTGTAAATTATTAAATTTTGGAACAGCTTGGAGATATTAATTTTAAGATTAGCTTTTATCTATGATAATTATGAGAGTGATATTTGCATGTTACATATTAAAAACACGCAATATTTTCTTAACATATGTTAAAAGAATAATTTTTCTAAAAATAATAAACATATGTAATAAATATTTCATGTTTTTGCAGAGAGTTTCTTGAGTCTGTAGAGGAATTAAAGTCATGGCATATACCTGTTTTGCAAAATTTCTTATCTGTAAGACTTGACCATGACATAATTAGCAGAGTTATAAAACTATTCTCAGGAAAAGCGTTTTGCTATTCCAAAGATAAGAACTTCGGAAAACTCATACTGTCGTTTTTAAAAATTAATACAACACTGTCCGAGGAGCAGAAACATTTAATGCTCGAGATAATCTCAGTCAATGAAACATTATTCAAAAAACCTATAGAAAATATTTTACGTAAAATGTAATTGCGTTAAATTATTGGCATAAAAAATAAATTATTTTTGCAATGAAAATAATTATATAAATAATTATATAAATAATTACTTGTCTGAAGATTCCTATTGTTTAAAAAAATTGAAATATTTTTTATATAAATATCTTAATTATTTTGCAAGGTATATCTTAATTATTTTGCAAGGTATATATATTAAAATTCATATTCAATATTAACGAAAGTTAATACAAAATTTCAGTCATTAAAACAGTATTGTTCAATCTGTTGTTTTGATGAAAGAAGAAGATTGTATCTTAAAGATTCAAGAGGACGAAACATAAATATAGCTACACACGATGATTATTTTGACGTTTCTCGTCTGCATTTGTGGCGATGCGCGCGAGATACAACTCCGTGCGCTGATTAACGCGGTGTAGATTTTTCTATTTATAAGTTTGTGTCGCAAAGTTCGTACAATTGATTCAACACGGCACAAGTTTCTGTCTTAGGGAAAAAAGTGTTTGTGATAATTATTTATAGAGACTAAACGCCTCGATTGTTGTGCAAAAATGTCGGAAGAACTCTCCGGTATAACCATAGTGATATTCATAGCAGCAGGTGTTCTAACGATATTATTGCTGTTTATCTTCGCGAAACGGCAAATTATGAGATTTACTCTGAGATCTCGCCGAGGTCCTCATATTCCCATAGGACACGATGCGAAGAAGGTGAGTGTATCCCAATGACTGACTTTGAGGTTAATCCATTACTATATCTCTGTATTGTTATTTATTATTACGAGTGTTTCACATTACAGTCCTTGAAGAGGGAAATAGAGAGGAGAATAGAGGTGATACCTAGAATTCAATATGAACCGCAACTCATCAGTGATCCTAGATATATCCTGACTTCAGGTGGTCAAGCTCCGCCACATTATTACAGGCTGAAAGCAGTTGATGATGTAAAAAGCTTAGGTAAGTTGATACATTATTATATCTTTGCTTTCTATTAATTTCTTATCTTACAGAATCAGAGATTACAAAATACGACAATTGTCTAAAGAGACATCCTTCGGAAAATCTAAGAGCATACCTGCTCACCACACTTGCTACTCCGTTGAATGGAAGTGGCCAGCGTTTGATTCACCAGTTCTGTGATCTCTATGAGCATGCAAGACACGACCCTACCGAATTTGGTGACGAGGAATACCAAGTGTACACTCGCCTGTTCCTTAAGTTAATGGATGCGTATGTATGATTTAGCAATGATTCAGTCAACCGCTTGACTTTATAACAATATCACAATAGAGAATGTTTAAGCAGTAATTTTGTCCATATTTCGAGCATACACGGTAAAAGGAATAGAATCTTTGCAAATTTGGTAATAGAAAATTTTATTGATTATTCAGGGCACGTTTATTAAAGTCGTATCCAAGTAGCAGAAAGTCCAGTCCTAGTCGCACGCCGATTAAGAAGAGCGTCGAGACAAAGAGGAATATTCTGGAGCCCAGAATGCGTCCGCCCGAGGAACAGATCCTAACCGGCTCGAGGCCCAATACTCTAACAGTGATGACGTTAGACAATAGTGAAACGTCCGTGTAGCATTATGAGTGTCGTCACATGTAACATATGTGACGAGAAAATTTTAGATAGGTACGGCACTGAAATAATTCGTACGGGAATTATGTGACGAAGGAAGATGAAATATTTAGTTTAGTTAGGGATCGTTATATAATATGCATTTTTACTTTTACAACAATTGCACTTGTGGTCACTACCTTATTTGAGTTGAGTACCAGTATTACAGCGTGAATAATGCATATTTTATAGGAACAAGGTGTATATGGACAAATGCGTTTTTCTTCCGATTTTTCTTTAATATTTACATTCGTATGATTTTATATTTATATACATCTGAAAGCCTTATAAAGTAACATTTTCGTGTTCTTTGTGCATCGACATCGCGCTTATAAAATATTTTAACGAGTACTGATGTACATATGAAAAAAAGAAGAGTAGTGATAATCGACTTAGAAAGTTACTAGTAGACTTTTTTTACAGAGTCTACTTTATAATATGTAATTCTTTAGATGTCAATAGTACTAAACCGGTAATTACTAATCGCGATAAACTGAAGTTTACGTTTTTTTTCTCTTTCGTGATTGACTCTTCAAATAGTTAATATAAAATACACGTGTACACGTTCGATCGTATAAATCTACATATCTTTAATGAAATTCAGGAGAACGTTTAAACCAACAAAAGAATAGAAATTTTCACGTTTTTTAAATATTCATTTTTTGACAATGACGGATCAGCTTATCTTTTTCTACGCGTTATTGCGTTATTGTTGAAAAGTATAATATATAATATATGGAAAATATAGAAATTATTAACACAATTAAACCAATTGAGCATTAATTGCACAATAAGGATATACGGACCTAAGTGTATATATATGCCTATCAAGGCTTGACATATTATTTCGTTAATGACTAATAGGCGAGTGTAGAGACAATTTAATCACGGGATGCCTGGTGTGTCCCTAGTAATTTTACCGTTGCAATTGTAGGATTTAATATTGTTAATCGAGTAAAAGGCTGAATATTGCGAAAGAAAAGTAAATCCAATGAACATTTAATCTTCCCTTTTTTTATACAAAAATCTTGTAAATACATTTAGTTGTACTACACATGTATAGTTATGTTGGTATACAAGTTTTAACGGACAGATAATTTGTCCACTGTAAGGTGTAATCCTTTTCATGCCTTAATAAGATTAACGCGCTTTGAAACGCAGATCTATACACATCAGGTACGGAACTGGTCCTCATGTGATTCAGCCAATTCATGATCTAAAAAAAAGATTAAAACGATTAGCAATCTGTACTTTATGTCGATGGATGTGTATCGTTCGTTTCGCGACGAGAAATTAAAAACTACTCGTCGCAGTTTCAATTTTATGACACATACTACTACATTTTTAGCCGTTAAGAGCGTATAAAATTAGATGTAAGTTTGTAAAATATATGTAAGATATTTTTAGTTGGACGAAAAACGTAAATAGGAGACTAATACTTGACGAGTTACGGATTTCCAAATTTGCTTATCGACGAGTATGAAGGTCGCTTGCGGGAACAATCGTATTCTGAGGTCTTGCGAAGCACTTAGTGATTCTTTCTCTGGCAGAAGACAGTCTATGCCGGACAGGCAGATAATCGAAATGAATAAAGTGTCGCAGTAGAAAAGGATCTTATCTTTCTCGTCGGGCGACTCCAGTATGAGTGCGTCGATGCGACTCATGAAATCCAAGACCCAATCCACGCAGTACTTTTCCGACCTTACTTCAGCCATCACCTTCTGTATACCTTCCAAGAAGTACACCTGTAACCTACGATAAAGTAAAAAGAACAAAAAGGTTTTATTGGGCAATTGGAGCAAATATTAAGTTGATTGTAGGCACTACTATCTTAACACCTACTCCGTATAAGTGGACGCAACCACGTCGATAGATTCATTCAGCCAAACGAGTGGCATCTTGCTAAATTTTCTCGTAGCCAATTCGATCCTGACGATGACAGCGTTCCTCAGCTCCTTCGGCGTTCCTTCCAGACAACTTGGCGACGTCATTTGTTCCACCTCCTCGGCCGACAGTTCCATCATGGCTGTAAAATATTCGTGGTAACGGCTCGACGTTAAATCAATGTTTTGAAAGATGTTCTTTAGTATGGTATACAGCAGCGTGCGGTTGCCTAAATGTGCCGCATCGCTGTTCAACGTCGTGGCGTAGGAAGACATGATGTGGTCAAACGAAGCAACTGCCTTCTCATCGTTGAGTGACATATTGACGACATGGTCGAGAGAGATCTCGAGGAAATGCTTCAGGTCGGTTGGCGGGAAGGCTCGGGACAGTTCATGCAGATTCGCGTAAAACGCCAAATGTCTTTCACTCAACAACAACGTAGCCGCATCCGACGTGGGCCTGAAATTCGCCGACCTATACTTTGATAGGCAATTCTCCACCAGGAGTTTTGCCGACAGCGAGATGTACGCGTGACGACTCGCGATGGACAGACCGTATTCCTTGGCCGTCTCCGAGATCTGCATAGCTTTGCTCAGAAAGTCCCAGTTCACGTTCGGCAATAGCTTCGTGTACTTGTGAGCAAACACGCGCATACACTCCACGATGATCCTCTGCTCGTTCAGGTCGGACGGATTGCTTCGTCTCAAGTGATCACCGACCGCTCTGATAACGCTTCTCTCTGGCAAGTACTTGAAATTACACGGCTCGCCTTGCGACCAATTGTAAATTTGCGACCGGTAGGTGCCCAGTTCTTCCTCGATATAGGAAATGAGGAGATCCCCGGCCGACGTCAGGATACTTTTGTTCACGTTTTTCAGCATCTGTATCCAGCAAGCGCCTGGCACGTAATTTAGCAAGTCCTCGGGATTGACATTTTTATCGGCTGCCTTCTCGTAGTATACGTGAGGTAATGTGACGTTCGAGCGAAACTCCAACGGCAAGGCGTTCAAGGGGATCCGCGCGAACGAGTAGGATTTTAAAGCCTTGAGTGCCGATTCCGCAACCCTCAAGTCCCTGCCGACCACGTAGCTCCACAGAAGCGGCACCACATCGACGAAGAAGCTCTCGTAGTCGTTGTCCGACTTGAAAGGGAAGGAGGGAACATTCGCGAAAAAGCTGCACAGACTCTCCAATATTACCGTGCGCTTTTCCTTACGCATCTTTGGCGCCAGCAGCTTCCACGTCGAGCAAATACCTGCCAAATGAAGTCGCGGTCTGTATTAATTACACGGCAAGAACTCTGGCGCTTCCTAAAGAAGCGTGATATAAGTGTGAAGATGAAAAGATCCTGGAGTACCTATCACAGCAGCCTCGCACAGCAACGAGATGCTGTCGAGCGCGAGCGCACTGGCCGCACCGCCGTTTAAGTCGTGGCAGCGATTCAGGATCTGAGATAGCAGCGGCACAAAGTCCGTGCAGAGCTCGGGTCGACTCTTGCAAACGTGCTTAATCGCTCGGGCGCACGCCACGTCCGAGTGCCAGTTGCGGCCGGTCTCCTTGGCCAGATCTATCAGCGCGTCGGACATGAAACGTTGGCAACGCGGTTCTTTCTCCAACGCCATCGCGTACAGCTGGATCGCGAAGTAGCGTAGGGACCCGTCGCTCTCCGACAGCGAGTTCAACGTGTGAACGACAATTCGCAGGTTCTCCTTGAACGGGACGAACTCTGGCAGAGCCAGCAACAGACACTTGGATGTGGCGCTGTCGCGGGTTTTGGTCAGTTTGTGCAACAGCAAGGAGAGCATGTGCGACGCGAAGGCGTTGATCTCGTGAACCATCTGTACGAGAATCCGGCAGGATTCCTGCACGACGCGAGGTTCCTCGCTGTGCAGAAAGATCCCACACAGGACCAGCTTACACGTGTATTTGAGATCGATCGGTGCGAGTGAGAACTTCTTCAACCAAGACTCGACGTCTACGTCCAGAGAGTATAGACTGCGCATAAGCTCCATGTAGATTTGGATGTGGCTGTTGCTGTGGCTGAACGTAAGGAGTAACTTGTTTGGCACACTATTGTCGCCAACCACGTGCTGGCTTGTCATCCCCTTGTTCTGCAAGATCTTATTTATCAGTTCCTTCGCCACCGGTAATAGGTCTTGGCACAGCAGTGATGGATAAGCCAGCCATTTCAGCAAAGCCGCAGCCAACGTGTGTAGCAATACAACATTGCACGGCATCTTGTTCACGATAGCTATGCCTACGGCCATGTATGCAATTAGATCCAGTGGAATTTTGAACGGTATCTGGTTTTAGAAAAAGGAATGCAGAATTTTATCACGATATTTGTGATTATTATGTACGGTACACATACTCACATATGTCAAAAACTTTTGATAGGTGAATAGCTGGACATATCAAAATAATTTCTGCCATTAAAATGATCATAATGTCTCCTATATAGTTGTCACAGCATTGCTTGATCAGCTCGAGTAACATAGAAAAATTTTGCGCCGGCTCATGACCGTACTTTAAGAAGTTGATTGTCAAAGATGTGATCAAAGGCACTAATGCTGTGCAGTATTTGATGTTTCTTTTCAGCAACGATCTCTCCGCAAACTCGAGCACTCTGCAATTCGTATCGATGCAAGTGTATGATTGATTAGTGCACAGCCAGAATAGAATCTCTACTTGTAAATCCAATGTGTCGTTGGACTCAATCACGAGTTGCCATGCTTGTTGTTTGAAACTATTGTCCAAATTTGTAGAAGGATTGCACAGTATGTACAAGAATACAGGCCGTAAGAGCTGCATACGCCATTTTATAAGCCTGAAATCCAAACAGATAAAAATTTAATGCTAATTACCTAGTAGTTAATCCATATAAATTTTTTTAATGGAAAGGTCGATAGAGTGAAGTTAATATTTGTCTCTCTGTGCAAAATAGTAGTATATATATATATATAAGGAATTCCAAAAATTATATATATATATATATATGTATATATATGTGTGTGTTATATTAATGTTACAAAATATACTTTTGATCATTATGTTGCATAATCTGCTTCATCTGAATCAACATTGTTCTCCAACTATAGTTTTCATGATTCAGAATTGTGATGAATGGATGCTGAGTAGGTGCTTGAAGAGTATATTCACAAGGATCATCCAACACTTTACAATCTAATATTAACAGTTTACTCACAGCCACAGTGACTGATTCATAATTCCTGCAAAGTTATACATAATATGAAATTTGATAAAATGGTATTTGCAGAAATATATAACATTTATAGTTGTTTTGCTTTATAACTGTTTTACATATGTACTTACTTTGAAGAACACACACTTAGGAAGGTTGCTATTGCAGACTTGGAAGTGTATAATCCAACTTTAACAAGTATAACCAGTGCTTGACAGGCTGATGTACTAACCATGGGATCATCGCTATTGCATTTTAAAGTGAGTGTTTGAAATTCTGGTATCTATAGAGAAGCAATATATAAAAATTAATGAAACAAGCATAATTGTCATTGAAAAGCGACAAAAATCAATTTACATTTCTAATATCCTCTTCCTTGCTTGATTTTTCTATAATTGTCTGAACAAGTTTGGATATAGCCTGTAAAAAGGAACAATTGAATAACAACTATAGTAATTGAATAATAATCAAATAGCTTTGAGCTAATATGGAATATTCGAATTTTTACAAAACTACTTACATGTGATATCAAAGTAGGATCTTGCGATTTTAATTTGTATTCGATCTCATCCATGATTTAAGCTATTTTAAATTATCTTCTACAAACTATATTTGTAATCTTGATTTGTACAAAATGTTTATGAAATTTCCTATAAAATATAATCATATCATAGTTGCGGAGAAAATTATATAAATTATAAAATACAATAATATACTAATAAATGTTAAACATTAATGATGTTTAGCAGTAATTAAATAAATATTATTGTTGTTTGATTTTCTGTTAAAAACTTTGAATAATTGACGAATTTTCAACATATTTATTAAGCAGTCGTCTCTTTCCCAGCATACTGAAAGTACACTTAACAAGCACTTAACACACTAGCCGTTTTTTATTGCATTGGTTGTATTTCATTCGATACATATTATCTTACAAAACAACTTAGATAATATGTAGCCAATAGAATAGTTCTATGTAACGCAGTATTTCCTTGTTGGAAGACGGCTATTGTAAACGTAAGCAAACATAACCTAAGGTCCTAAGGAGAAAACAGTACAGAGCAAAGTGCAGAAAGATATGTACCTTTTAGCTACACCTAGCTAGTGCACCTGTATTTCAAGTGTAACGGTCTCTTTTTGAAATATGGCGGACTTGACAAGTTTTACTGAACGTGTGCTCCCAGTTTTCGCTCTCGGCCTTATATCGCTGAATAAAGATAAAGGTATTTTAATCACAAAAATATCAGGAAATTTGCAGAATTCTTTATACAAGTATAATCGTCAAATGTCAGTGCTAAATACGAATAAGAACTCTCGGGTTCTTTTCGTAAAGTTGGCGCGCCAAAGATGGCCACTCAATTTTTTACACATTTCATATCGAGCTTAAACATTTTAATATTATGAAAGATATAGTAAAACAAGTAGAAACTGATAATCAGATTTATCTCAATAGTTACATTACGTTGTATTTCTAATGTTTCTCTTTTGTATGTGCATTATTCATGTTTTACGAAATAAAGAATTCTAAATATTTTCCTAGGCGTTTACAAATTTTCGAGCAAAACAGCGAAGAATGTATATTCCATATGAATCCATATGAATATTCTTGATTTTTATATACAACAAGAAATATTTTCCATTTCTAATAACAATTATTTTTTATTTCGGTTGAATACAATATCGAAATGCTAG